GCAGCAGCCTCTTTAGCACCTCTGCCAAACCTCCCCCCATCCCCCACCAAAAAAAAACTGTTAGATTTTTTATTTTTTTGGGTTTCTGACCAAGTTTTTGACTTTTTTTTACTTTTTTTTTTTTACTTTTTTTTTTTATTTTTTTTACTTTTTTTTTGCCTTTTTTTTTACTTTTTTTGACTTTTTTTTTGACTTTTTTGACTTTTTTTTTGACTTTTTGGACCGTTTTTTTGAACTTTTTGCCCAATTTTTTGGACTTTTTGGGTGATTTTTTTTGACTTTTTGACCAATGTTTTTGACTTTTTACTGACTTTTTTTGACTTTTTGGTCAACACAGATCATGTCAGTTAAGGGCATCACTCATCTGGAGGATCCCAACCCTCTGACCAATCAACATAAAACAGCTATATTTTAGCTATCTGATCAGTACTATGGTTTTGCAAGCCAGTCTGGGCACAGGCCCAAGTTGGGCAAAAAGAGGCCAAGCAGGCTTCTCATGTCGGATTACGTGTAATGTGACATGAGACTGTGCTGCAGCAGCCCCTTCAGAGCCTCTGCTAACCCCCCCTTGCAATAATTTTTGCTTGGTCTGCAGTGTGTAACATGGGTAAAGGGGGGGGGGGGGGGTTCACGTAATCTGACATGAGACTGTGCTGCAGCAGCCCCTTTAGAGCCTCTGCTAACCCCCTCTTGCAATAAAAAATGTTTTTTTACAAAGATGAAAAATCAAAGACAGACCACTGGCACAACACATCTCAATAATCCAACCCCCCACCTTCATGCTACACTGCACCACCTCAACTCTCAAACATAAAACTTGAAATCCATAAAATTGGTCACAAATTATAATCATGAGCCTAAAAAAAATTGTATGGGTTCCTGTCAACAAGCTGGGGTCAGTCCTCTGAAAGAGACCCCCCCCCCCCCAGCAATCCAGTAAACCCAGTTTTTCAGGAGTGAATCCTCCCAATTAAAATGATTATGCACCAGCTTTCCGGGAGCATCCCATCAAACCCAGCTTATTTTGGGAGGGATTGCCCCCCCCCCAAAAAAAAAAAACTGGAATATGAAACAGCTTGCTGGTGGATACTCAAACCAAAGCAAACGTGGAGGAAAAGAATCAATATAATACAGCTTTCCAAGAGCAACTCCTCCTGGGAATTCAGTATTGGGAGAGGATCCTCCTGTAAAACAGGCTTATGTAACAGCTCACCAGGAGGGGCTCCTCCTGGCAGGCTGGTATTAAATCCATCTTGTGCTGGGAAGTATTAACCAGCTTTTTAATCCTCCTGGAAAGGTGGGATTTATACTAGCTTATTGGGGGAGAATCCCTCCAACAAGCAGGTTTTGATACCAGTTTTTCAGGAGGAGCTCCTGTAATGTTGGCATTAAGATTCAGGGAAGGCTCATGTTTGATTAAGGGGGCATGATAAACGCACCCCAGCCCCCCTTGCTCACACCAGGTGCAGATTGGTGTGTGCACCTGCACACCAAATCAAATTGGAGTGCGGGACTGCACACCAATCTACAGAGTGTAAACCGGTGTGCAGGCCTGCATGTCAAAGATTCCTAAACGCATATGTACACATATGCGTTTAGTACCGCTGCCATCCCATAGGACCCAGGCATGGGTCCTATGGGACGGCGGCAGAGAATCCGGAGAAAGAAAAAAAAAAGGCTGGGAGGGGGTTCCTCCCAGCCTACCAGGTTGACTCTCCACGCTTTCGTCAGGATGCTTTCCTGCATATTATTTGGCTTTCAAACGAGCTCGTCAGGAGGAAATCCTCCCAATGAACTGGGCTTGAGACCAGCTCATCAGGAGGAAAACCTCCCAATGAGCGGGACTTGAAACCAGCTCATCAGGAGGGTTTTCTCCCAATGAGCTGCTATATAGTCTTCAGGCTGAGAGGAAACCCCTCCCAGCCTTGTCTTGTTTCATTTTTTCTCAGGATTCTCCGCCGTTGTCTCATAGGACCCCTGAAAAAATTATCCTCTTGTGAATTCAATTTAGAAATTTTGTTGTCTCATGATTCAGTTTTTTAGAGCTCATCTTATTGATTCTACTGTGTTTATATGGAGAAATTACAGTTTTTTTTTGAATTTGATTGAAACCTGTGTAAATTTTGAGGCTGTTTTTATTGTACTGGGGGAAATGAATTCCAGAATCTATCTGAGAAAGTATTAGATTTAGAACTGGAAATGATAAGTTTGATGAAATTGACTGGTGTGAGAGGATCTAAATCTACAAAGAATATCCTGATCTGATCAAGAGACTTTCAAACTTTTATGCTGGGGCTGCAGAAAAAATCATTCTGTGCTGATTCTATTTACTATTTCTGTAAATTAAAAGTTACATAAAAAACTCATCACATGAGGAAACTCTAGTGACTTTGATAGTATTTTATTTTGAATTTTGTCTGAATGTTGAGTGAAAGATATGGGAAAATCAGTTCCCAATACTGTGAAAAATATGGGAATTTCAGGTTCTTTACCAAAGTGATTTTTTGTGATTTTTGTTTGATTTTATGGTGACATGCAGTCACTGGGCAACCAGTGCCCTGAAATTTCCCCTGGTGATCACTATCATCATATAGTTGTAAAAGGCTGTAAGTGTACGGCATTTTTGTGCATCAAACTCACAGGGTTTCGTAGGCCAGCGAGCTGCAGTGACTCGTGAGCGGACCGAAACTTCCACGCTCATAAAATGCGGTTGTATACAACTGCTCAAAGGCGTAGCCCTTCGGAACTCGGCACATAGCCTCATCGGCCCGCTGGCACTGCCAGGAACCTGGGGTACATAAGGTGGGGTGGACTGAGTCTGAGGAGGACTGTCACCCACAATAAAGCCTTCCACTCTCTCAGAATGGCGTGGACAGACACAATCAGCACGCACAAACAACTCGGTTATTTCGGGTAGTTTTTGCGGCCGACTCACGGCCTGTGTTTGATTTTAGAGCGAAGAAGGCTTGTTGGCCTCCACCCAACACTTGGAGACTGGTGGTCGAAACCATCATATTTACTACATGAAGATGTCTACATCCATGACTGAAGATATCCAAATCTATGGTTCGTCTCTTGAAATAAGCTCACGCAAGCTTTGTATCAGCAGACTAGCAGCTTGAGGAAGGCAAGGAATGGAAAGGAGGTTGGGGATGGTACATACTTCAAAGAGGAGCTCACTGGAGCTCATTCAAGCAAATTTCGTGCGCTAGTGATTATTCGTTTGACCAAAAGTTAAACCCAAAGTGATTTCAAGGGGCAAGAATGTAAATAAAAATGAACATCAAAATTGAAAATTTGCCATTAGTCTGATCTGATTACTCCAGAAAACACTAATCACAGGTGATTTGATGGAGGGGTATACATACTATGGTGGTATCTCCATTTGCTTGTCTCATGGTAGTATTCCAATTTGCTTCTCTCAGGCTGAGACAAGCAGACATAGAACAATGGTATTCTACACCTATGGGAGGCACATAAGAGAGAGATGTCAGAGATGATTATCTTGATTGATGCTGAGCATAAGGTATCAGATATGTGGGCAAAAACAAGCAAATTACGGACTCTTCAATTTAGGGAGTTGCTGTCCTGAAAATTCCGCAATATTCTCTACAAGCATTCAATTTTCAATGCACACAAGCTTACACAATTTCTAGCCACTCTGATTCCTGTGTCATTTGTAGCACGGGACGCTGAATAAATTGTGCCAATGATTGTGCCAATGCTCAATTCAATCTAATTATGGTTTAACTGTAAGTGCTTGCTCTCATTTGGAGATCTCATTACATATACTTTTTTGGATCAGTGAATCTGAGAATGCAAATAAATCTGCAAGAAATGAAAATGAGTCAGATAAGTTCTCACCCTCCTACAAAAAAAATTGTATCAAAATACAAAAAAAAAAACTAAATTTAAGGCAAAGGTACATCCACAATCAATAATTCAGGCTTGTGTTTACTAGCATGACTTATGATGGTTGGTGAGTGATCTTCCGGGGAATTTTTGAAGATATGGGAATTCGAAATGGCACAAGAAGTGCCCGTGAAGATTGTTTCTAAAGAGATGATAATGCGAGGGAGAAAATAACAAAAGTAAGACGAAGTTAATTTGTATATGTTAATCAGAGGACAGGAGAAGGAGTGATAGACAAGGAGGAAATGGGGTGCTCACCGCCTTCTTTTCCAACACGATTGCAAGTAACAAACGCACGATTTCCCAATTTCCAAAAGGGTATACAACGGGTTGCCCAGTAATTCATTGTATCCAGAGTTTCTCCAAGACTCTTACCATGTTCTGTGTAGAAAGGATCAGGTACTGGACTGACGGATAGCCAGGCCATGGCGCATAACATTATTTCGGCATGATGAGTGACTGCAAACGAGCTAAGTTCGTATGCATCAAATGGGGCTTCAAATCGGTCGGGACTTAACTATTGTGGTTGGGTGAAAGTGAAAGAGGTTTGGGTAGATAGGTCAATGCAACCAGTCTCATGGATTGATGTGAGACATAAGAAAATGATAAAAGAAAGAATACTCAACATCCATACATATCCCAATACAGCATTTCACCGGCTTACCAGACTCGCCATTCAATCTTGCAATGTTCAGATCGATGACTAGAAACCCTTCGCCAGGTTTAGCCCAGAGATCATCGACAGGTGGATACAGTTGAGTCTTGTGATAAACTTTTATCAATTCTCCCTGATTGGAAACTATTCCTAAGGCGTTGTAAACCTGTCTCACTCCCGCTCGTTGGATTCGTTGAGGAAAGCCGATCATGACATGACAATTGAGCTTCTGAGCTGACAAATCGCAGTTCCAAGATCAATTCATTTCTTAGCCAGCTGCGTTTCGCTCTACAGGTAAAACAAAAATATAGAAGATTGGATGGCTAACTAACCTGTCTTTTTAGCCCAATTTATAGATATACCATCCTCGGACTCGGCAAACGGCACAACATCCTCAAACGATGTGAAACTGTAGCCTGTCAAGGAAACACAGGAAGTGAGATTTCTTTCTTTCTTAGACTTTACCATGTTTTGTCATGACCCACGAATAAAGCAGACATGCTTACCGGTGAACGCCATCTCGGGGAGCATCAGCAAATCGATTTCATTGGGTTCTATCCTTAAACAAACGAAATTTTGCTTCAGGCTTGACTTCTGTACAACAAGAACATCGCGATTGCACTTACGAGGAGATCAAATTGTCGGCCTGTTGAATCGATAGCTCGGGCTGTTTGAAGCTCGGCTCAAGCTGGAGTAATCCGATTCTTGTTTTCCGTAGCATAGTTTAGCAAAAGACAAAGAATTAGCGTTGCTGTTGGAGTTCACAATCACCCGAATCATGCGATTGAGATGGATGGCAGATACAAGCGAGTGTGAGAGACTGGATTTTTGTTTCTGAATGAATATGCATCCATCTTGCTCTGTACTATGGAGTGCTTCCTTACCTTACAAAGAAGGACTCAAGGAAAGAGTCATGTTTGTATTTAGGTGCTGCATTTTGTATGTTCTGCGCCCGTGGTGTAGAACTGGTGGTGATCATGTCCAACCACCCTTGCAGATGAATCATCTTCACCCTCGCCGGTGATCACAGCTCAGAGGGAATGGGCAACTTACAGCAGGAATAATGTCAGAGGGACCATGACGTCATGATCATGCGCTCCGAAGAAGAATGTAAGCCATGATGATCATCCAGCAGTGCCAGCAGGATCGATACCACCGAGCAGATGGTCAACGGGCTTGACCTCCAGCCTTCCAACGGGAAACAAGTTTTCCTCTTGACCTTTTTGACCTCTTCCAAGAAGCACACTCAGCATCATCAATTTATATTACCACACAATTCCAGGATGACTAGCAAAGTAAATCTTACTTAAAGTCATCAAACATTCCAAACCATTTGACAAGGTAATCTTGATCCTTGTAGGCGAAAAATGAGAAAATCGATTACCTGAAGGGAGCCGAAGCCGAGTCAAAAGTAGGCATTTTTCCTTTCGAGGAATCAAATGGATTCCGTCACAAACTGAGACATACCAAACATCGCATATTTAGATACTGGAGTATTTGATTCAACAAAACAGGTATGCTACCTGACCTCCTGTTTTCGCTTTTTGAGTCGTTCTCTCGCAATTGAATTACCCATTTCAGCTCCTGACGCAGGTTGCTGTTGATTGCATGAATGTAGGCCCCACAATGCAACGGATGTGAGTAACTGGATCTCAATCGAACAATGATCTTCTTCCGAGAAACACGCAGCTACAAAGCGTAGTTGTGACTTGCCGCAGAACCTGGTGCCAGTAGCTGATGACCTGTGGATCTTACACCACCTTTTCTTATTATCATTGATTCATCATCTCTCGACCTCTCACTCCGAACGGAGCCGGTAGATTAGTGCTAACTTACGAGTGGTCAAGAAGGCAGACGTGTTGAAATGTTTGACTTACCTTCATGAATCGCAAAAGATTGATATGAAGTTGTTTGGAAAACAAGCAGTTTACTGCTGCAAACAGGTTGGTACCATATCAAAATTGATCCAAGTCAACCTAGCACTGAATGAACTGTCCCAATCTATTTCTTTTACTAAAATTTTTAGTCTGTTGAATCCGCCGTTTCGCCCGAGGTGCTTAAAGAGATGCAGACTGAGCAAGAGGAGCTAAAGTTAGCATAATTTCACATCCCGAGTTCAATTTACTCTGTCTCTATTCCGCAAGGCTACAATGATCGAGCCATACATAGGCATTTTCTCTAATTTCCCAGGAACGCGACGAAAAACTTGAAAGAAAGTAATACGAAAATTCGAATCGAGCTGGCTGAGCTAGAAAAGTTGCCCCCTACGTCCGAGATCCCGATAGTAAAGAACGAACTCAAACAAACGGTAAGGTTCAAGTTCTTCACAATCTATTGCTTGTCCATCGCTTGGTGTTTCTCGGGAAAATTATATCTGACGATTGAAGATGAAAAAAAAACTCCGTTTTGCAAGTGGATCGAACTTCAAAGTCGCTTGGAAGCACTTGGAAGCGATGAAGCAGATGGAAAGAAGGAAATAGTTCCTTTAAAAACTTCGGAAGAAATTTCGAAACTTGACCAACAAATCGAGAAATATAAGGCTCTATGGCTCAGTCACCGAAAAATGTAAGCTCTCTAGAGTTTTCACCGGGAATTTTTGGAAAGATTTCGTACTAAGCTAGCGATCTGGTTCTTCTGGGGACTCACAGATGCAAACATGCCATACGTGTGATTCAAGACGTATTGAAGGATGATGAAGCTAAAAGTAATTTTATGGAACAAATCGGTCTGGAAGATGATTCCGTGGAATTATCTTCACTCGAGCAGGAACAGACTCAGATCAATGCCACACCTAGCTTGAAAGCAGATACCCGCCGCCATAGTAACACTCCTGCCGGGATCAAAAGAAGCTTCAGCGGCACCATCAAGGTCTAATACTTTTAGCATCACAGTCTCAAGCGTGGTCGAGTTTGTAGAATTACTACCCTAAACTAAAACCCATTAGTCTTTCTCACAGCACTTGAGCCTAATTTTCCCTTTCTCAAGTCACTGAATGAGGTGATACGAGTCCGGTAATCTTGCTGGTTGAGTGGTGGTTGTAGGCTGGTCGCTTTTTGGACAGCCTCTGCATTGTCTAACTTAACAACAAGTCCCTCGATCGGAGGGCCTGGTGCCAGGCTGGCGCGAAGCGCCCCTGGTCGAGGGGATTATGTTAAGCTAGCTGCATTGTTGGGTTCTTGTTGGTTTGTTTGCAAGCTCAAAAATTTACCCTTGAACCCGAGAAGCCAGGCGAAAAGTTCCCTTGCGCGGGGATATATACTTGGCCCGGCCCTCCTGCGCTACCCAGACCTATCACCACGGACAACTGCCTGTCGCTCCGGCCTGATTCGTCACCTCCCGCTGGTGGCCGCAGTCACTGCGGAGGTGACGAATCGCGCGGGAGCGACATCCGAATGTCCGGGGTGTATAGCGCGCCCGGCTAGCTCAGTTGGTAGAGCATTCGACTCTTACAGGGTTTGTCACTTCCACGGAAACGACATCGAATTGTCGTGGGTTCGAGCCCCACGTTGGGCGCCAATGTTTTTGGATGATTTTCATGAGGAAGCACCTTCTACCGTATTTACAACAGACTCATAATGTGTTGGACGTTAAAGATGATTGGCAAAAGGCTTTTTCCTGTAATACACCATGGTGAACCTTTTCCCGCTTTGGAGGCAGAAAAAGTCTGCCTCCTCAGATCACCGGCGGAGAGAGAACGACCCTTCCGGGGAGGCAGACTCTTTCCGCCTCCAAAGCGGAAAAAAGTTGACCACCTCTGGGGGGTGGGTTTTTTCTGCTTTCAAGGGCGGAAAAGAACCTCATGGCCCCATGGCTCTCACGGTAACCAAGGGGCTGCCGAGGTCTTATATAATTCCAAAAAGAGGCCCCTCCGGCGGCCCAGTGCCGTGATAGTCGAGACAGCAGTCTGCACCATTGATGTGCCTGACAATGGCCCTCACGACTTCCCCCAGGGCCCAAGGTCTTGACAGCTGTTTGAGCCTTGGCCCGGTTAATTTTTGGAGCCTGGCTCCACACCTCGTTCCCTTTTTGAGCGGGGTTGACCAGTAGGTTGGATATTTTCCGCCTCTGACATCGATGGAGGGGTGGGTGTGACCTTGCTATCTCCCCGCCCATCCAGTCGGAAAAATTTCCGCCTCGGCGATGGCGACCCGTCAGAGACGTCCCCCCCTCCTTGCAGAGCGAGCCCCCGGAAAATTTCCGGCTCATGAGGCAGGAATTCTACGATTTCGAGTGGCCGTGGTGTATACATCTCCTTCCTGTAAGTGGGATTTCTCAGAAGTGATTGTGTCATTTTTGACTGTTTGCTTCTGAGTATTCATTTCGGAGGAGCAAATGTCAAGGGCACAGATTTAAGGACTGAGAAAAATAAAGACAACAGTGGCACTGAGGATTGGGGAATAGATAAGAGAATTGTAGCAGACAGAATTGAGAGAAGAAAGATAAAGGGAGAAATTGGATAGAAGATTGTATGACAGTATTAGTAAAGATGATAGTGAGGATTCGTGTCAAAGGAAGACAATCAAAGGTGAGTTGGAGGTTGAAATGTTGAGTAATTCATGGATGTGTCATTTGGGATTACTTTCTGCAGACCTGAAATATTTTTCCCCCTCCCTTTTTGGTTGTTTTGTCAGAGAAGATACTCAGTGAAGCTTATGAAAAACATTTAGAACTCAATGGACTATGCAAGCTGTTTTTGGTCAGAAATTCCTGTTCAATAGATGAACTACAGGTTAAACCAGGTGCGCCAGCGAGCATGATGATCACTGATAAGGTCATTCCAATCCATCCATCCAATTTGGGGTTCTTCCTTTCCTGCAAAAGTTTTGATTCATTTTGTCCAGTACCCACTATACATAGCAGTTTGCAAGATGAATGTGCAGCCCAGAAATAGAACTGAAGATACATGCACTCCTCCGTTTCTGCGTACATAATTCATGTAGCTCTCAGTGTCAGAGACACCGATAGACACACATGTTTGTCCTTGGATTGCTTCAGCTTCAGGAAGTCCCCTTTGAATATCCTACGTCATGCTTCCATTTCTAATATTGAAATTGTGACCACTTTCCTTTGCTTGATTTAATTCTTCTGTTGTTTCCCTGATTTGGATTAAACTTCAGATTAAAATTCATGGATGACATATGATGGTTGGATTCCGGTGACATATCTTGGAGGACGAAGAATTCTTATTGGCAACTTCTTAGCTACCTTGATTAAAATTCATAGTACAACCTGCTTCCTGATTCATATCGCATTACCGGGGGTCGATCCATAATACCGAGAGGTTTTCATTACCACTGGTGATGCTACTTCTTCAGGAAATGTTTCTATTCCAGAGTTCGCAGTTGATTTAACAATTGTAACAAATGTCGGGTTTTTGTAGCCAACATGTGTACTTGTCACCAGTGCAATAAGATAGGCCGGTTGCGAGGTTCTCCCGTTGTCTTTGAGATTATTGAATGTAACAATTTGTCGCCTGGATCGTCGCTGTGTTCGACCTGGTTAAGCAGCACATAATGAAGTGGTAGCAGTTGAGCATTATTGATTCTTGGCTGCTCAGTGACCTCGAGTGACTCGTATCGAGGGACGAGTGTGGTAGAGCTTTCAGCACGTTGTAATTAGCTCCGACTGTCTGGCCAATGGGAACTATCATGTGGTAGTTAATTGGAATACTCACCTTTGGAGAGGGAGTGATTGGAGGATAAAAGGGCCCCTCGGATCATGTTTCCAAACAGAGCGACAGCATTACCAATACCTCGAATAGTTAGTTAATCTGATACATCCACAACATCTTATCACTACTCCCCTATTGTGACTTCCTTTTTGAGAGAGCGAAGCAGGCTTCAAGTGACCTTCAATAATAAGTTAACATTTCATTCAACTCATAGGAAGTTGAACTTATATCATCCCTTTCACCGACATATTTTGCAATATGCATATTGAAATCACCGGAAAACTGCTTGTTGTCGTAACACTCTGTGTGTCCTCCTTACGAGGGACATCTGCCGCTTCGACTCATCGCAGATACCGTCGACAAGTTCCTCAAGAATGGGCACATGCCAAGGTGCGCTTTTTTTTCAAGCAGCTTGTGATGTGAAAAATCAAATCTCATGATGGCTTGTTCATCTCTGGAATATCATTTTGCTTGTCTTTTGTAGGAAGTGCGTCTGGTTGACGACATGCTGAAGCTTGGGCCAAATCCTTTGGAATTCAAACATCCAATCTACAGTTTGTCAGTATTCCCTGTTTCATCATGAAATGAGATGTTTACTGTCTTGAAAAGGCTTTTTTCTTTAATCACAACTGAGATAATTTTTATGATTCAGACTTGGTCTTAAAGCTGCAGCAGAAGGGATGGGGAAGCTTGAGCAAAGCAGCCATGACTGTTTCCAGAAGCTCGTGGCTGATCAAGCTTTCTCGAATGCAAAGAAGGCAGGCAAGAAGGAGGGCCAGGAAGCTGCTATAATTTTTGCATCCGTAGAAAAAAATACCAAGACAGTCGGCGTGGCTAGTCCCCCCTGTAAAACTAAGAAGATGGAAAACCCTGAGATCGAGAGATTGATACAGCATCAGGTTAGCTTTCCGTATCCTTTCTGCTTTCTACTTTCATTTCAAGCCATAGAGTAGATAAAACTAAGTGAAACTTTGCTTTATCTGGCGCTGTTGACCAGGATGCTGCATCGCCAGGGGCTGCTGAAAATAATAAAAAGTCAGCCTTGTTAGCTGCGCTTTCGTTGAAAGAAATCGGCAGTGATCCTAGTATAGCCCTTCGTACAGGAACATTTAAAGCTGGCGAGTACGTCAATCAGCTTGAAATAAAAAAAAAAGGCCTGAAAACAAAAATCAAATAAAATCAATACTCATCAAGACTGTCTTTTCCTGAATAGTCCAAAAAGTCCCAACAATGGTCGCGGTGGAAGTTGTGATGAGGAAAATGACGCCGAGGGCTGTATCTATAGCAAAAAGCTTCTGGTAGGTATTCCCTTACTGCAATTCCGACTGATGAAGGTGCATAAAAGAGCTCAAATGTCTTACGATTGATGTTTCTGTAGGTTGAGGATGTGACTAAAGCAGAAATTGACGAGTTTCTCAAAAACAATGGTGGCTCAGGGGGGACTAAAGAGAGCGGATCAACTGAAAAGGATAAGAAGCCTGAAAGTCCAGCAGGCAAGCCAAGTACGCTTACCGACGTAGTAAAGAAAGAGGGCGGCGGAGCAACTAAGGTGTTGAAAGATGCCAAGGGAAGCAAGGCTGGAGACGCAACCAAGAAAGAGGATACGAAAAGTGTAGTCTTGAAAGATGAAAAACCAAACAAAACTGGTGCAGGAGGCCAAGGAACGGCTGCAGTTGAAAAATCAGCAGCATTGGAGAAGACCGAGAACTCGGGTACAACAGCTGAGCTAACACTTGTCGATGAATCTGGGAAGGCGGATAACTCGACTACCAAGCCTGAAACCACGCCTACCAAGCCAGACACCACGACTGTCAGTCTGGCTAGCACTGAAAAGTCAACCGAAGAAAAGGAGAAGGAAGAGAAGGAGAAGAAGGAGAAGGAAGAAAAGGAAAAGAAGGAGAAGGAAGAAAAGGAGAAGAAGGAGAAAGATGACAAGCCAAAGGAGGCTGACAAAACAAAGGATGATAAAACACAACAGACTGGTCAAGAAAAGAGTAAGACTAAAACTAATAATTAGACAGCTAACTGAGGCATTAGCTTGTAGGCAAGACAAGAGAACTATCATGATATTCTTGTTAGTTTCACTTCAACAAACTTTCAAATAACTTTGTATGTAATTTAAATCCCTCATATCTAATCTTCTCATTCCACCAATGAAAATTTTCACTGTCATCTTCCCAGAATGAATTAATGATAAACTTGTTTAAAATAAGTCAAATGATTACAATTCTTCATTTGTTAAAACAACTATTATAAAGATAAAGGGAATGATTGAACTCTTATACATTGTGAAACAAGTCGTGCAAAGTTTGGTTTCAATTTGCTTGACTTGCATTAGCAATACTCACTCATCCTTCAATTATCATGAGCCTAATTGGAAAAGTAGTTCCAGACACATAGACTCAAGAAACCAAAGCATCTCACCAGATATATCAGCAGAGCAATCCAATTCACAGCAATCCATTGATTTCCCAGTGATTAATTGGATTGAACTTACTATCTCCAATTATTTGTGCACAACAAGTGCTTTTTTTACATCTCCCTTTTTGTTTATTTGGGTGTGTCTATATAATTTCCAAAGAAGTAAATTTTTGGCATCATAAATTATGACTCACTGGCTAGACAATCTGCCCCATCCTCTCGTCCCATTATAACCATCAGATCATGAAAATTGCCCCCCCCCTGTCCCATAACCACTTGATAATTCGGAGTGGATCAACCGAGAAGGTCTTAGCTTCACATGTTGGCCACAATGGAAGGATTCCCCTTGACACAGCGTCATAAAATACACTTCATGTGAGAGACTTCAATAAGAGTTCCAGTCTGCATTTGTTTTGCAAGTATTGCTTGTAAGAAAGATCATTTGAAAAAAAAAATCAATTGTCTTCTACTCCAAAGCCAACAAACTACCCATGATAATCACCCAGAAGTGAAGAATATGTTACCATGCAGCACAGCTTCCCACAAACAAGAATGGTTTTTCCAAAAAATCTGAAGCAAGACCAAAAGGAACATTCATTTGCAGAGTAATAATAATCTTTGTGAGGCTTCCTCTCAGCAGATTAGCCACCAGTAACAATTTGAATTGAGCTGACAGCAACCAGCTTAAATCATTCATTTGGTGGCGGTGTTGATTCTGATGTGAACCAATAGGAAATGTTCTTTTTTTTTTTCTTCTGTTTGGATTTCTATAGAGTAAAAAAAAAGAAACACAAAATAATAAACACAAGAGGGATGGATTGGTAATTACTGATTGTTACCCTAATCGTCGCCAGCCGAGCCACGAGATGAGCTGACCCGAGCGGCAGAGATCGGGCTGATTTTACGACGGAGTCGGAGTTCGCTGAGTGCCGTCCGGCCGCACAGGATCAACGGGAAGCTCATCAAGAAAGCCAGAGGGATGTATTGGTAGAGCTTCAGTCTGGCCCAGTATGTCAAGATAAGCGCCTCTTGAGAGACCATCGTCAGGATGAATAACAGTGTCGAGAGTTTCGGCGCCCCGAAGAGCTTGAATCCTCCGGTTGTGTTCTGCGAAATCTTCGCCCACTGTGTAGGTGCATTCAGAGTCAATACCTTCTTGGTGAGCTAGATGCGGAGTTGGTTGAGATGATTGATTGGTTGGGTGACTTACGGCCGTTAATAAGAAGAGCCAGGGCGATGCAACAATTCCGACAAAGGCTAGACTGAAGATCGGGTTGTCTTTCTTGCGCGGTGGTTGGAAAGTCCACTTGAGTTCGGGCTGGATATAATGTTTCTCGAGTTCCAATGTAGATGGTGCTAAGTATCATAAGGATCAAGACCGCAACAGATTTCAGCAACGTGAATTCCAAGGGGTATGCTACTTGGAACTAGAGAGATCGACTTACGTTTCCCATCTTTCGTGTCCCAGTAGGGGTATTCCAGTAGCAAGCTCTTCGGGATTTTGAAGGTTGCTAGGTTCAATTTTAGTGGAGCGTGGACAGCCGAAATGTCACCAATGATGAGCTCTAGACGGACTTCTCCTGTACGTGAAAGACTTAAAAAGTCGGTTGGTGCTCGGGCAAGATCCTAGATAAATCCAAAGTCACCGATCATGATTTGCGTTATTGATTCTGGTCTACTGTGATTTCCTTTTTTTTTTTTCGAGAAGAATGGCTAGAAGCTACTGGATGGGTTAGTGGTACTGACCAGCTCCCACTTAGCCTTTCCTTTACTTCTGGTTTTCACAGCGGCTGCCCAATGAAGTTTTGTGTCGACACCGGTAGCGAGTAACGTCACTTGATGAGGAGAGAATAACGAGCCAGCTTGGTCGGAGGAAGATTTTTCTAGTATCTCGAATGTTGCTTTCAGCGTGTTTTCGTCATTGAGCTCGAATGGAGGAGCCAAAGGGGATGGGGCATTCGTAGAAATCCTGTCATACAAAAAAAAAAAAAAAAAATTCAGTCAGACAATGTGGTTCGAATTGAATTTTTTTTTTGTGGTAATGCGAGAATAGCAACAGAAGAGATATCTGTGGTGACTGACTCGAAGCTCTTTTTCGTCATTCCATTGACATCCAGGACGACGAGCTGACCGTTATCGACTACGAGCTCTGCCGAGCCACTGGGAAGCCATAGGGCCAAGATGGCCAGAGCGAGTAGGAATGGCTGTCCGACGGTTCGAGTGATCCTTGCCATCGTTCTGCGTTTTGTCCAGTAATGTATCGATGTAGTTTTCAGTCGATCGATCGCCAGGCTGCTGTGTGGTGAGATGGATGTATTTACGGACGTGTCGGTCGCCGGTCGAGTCGCAGTCGGCGACTGGATCGGCTGCGCACTTGGCTGTGCAAACAACATTCGAGCCGCGCTGGCACAGACACCGCGCCATATGGTCCATCAAGACCAACAAGTCAGCTCCAAGCTTCCTGTTGTGTTATTTGCACAATGCCGCCGGAATTTGCTGGATTGGATTTACGAAAGCATGTAGCTATGGATCTGATTTGACTCAGATATTGAAGAATGCTAGAGACACAAACTGACACCAAAAGGGCTCTGATTCGAATTACAACACTGGAATATATCTTGAATTTTGAGAATTAATGAAGGCAGCAACACCAATGAGTTGTCAACTGGTAGGATGAAACCCACCATAAAATTTTCCAACAAGTTGCTGATCAAGCTCTGGTGATTGCAAAATGCAGGGTGAGCTTCACACTGCACAAAGTTGAATTTTGATGTACCCACTAGATTTTTGAAAATGTGGGATTTCATTCAATCCTAATCCAAAATCGGTTCCTACCTGATTGAAAGTTGAATCACTCTTCACAGAAAACAGAAGATCTGAACTAAATGAAGGTAAGCGGATTCAAAAGAGCCCCGCCTTTTCCCCATGATGGATGCAAATGCCATCCCAAATACACTGTTCCATGTAGCCAATCCACTCTGACTCTGAAGACGTACTTCTTGCAGATAAAATTGCCGGTAAAGAGAGCCCAAGGCACACAGAGAAACGAAAAAAAACATTCATTAATCATAAGAAAAAGAGCAGAGACAGAGATAAAAACATGAAAACAAGTTGATTAATTGGAATTGACAATAGATCCAACCATTTTTTATGATTTTTTTTTTTTAGTTCTGGGAAGGAAACAGAAAAGAGTGTCAAGGAGAGAATTTATCTGAGTGTAAAGGGATGGAGATGCTCAGAAGGCATCCCCAAGATCATCGTCGTCGCCATCATTATCGTCTCCGGTTAAGATTTCGGAGGCCAACTCTCTTTCTCTTTCTCGAGCTGCTTCGGCAGAAGCCAGCTCTTTCGAATGTTGGTTCAACGGAAACCGCATCGCCTCCAAGCTTTCGTTGTGTAATTTCAAACAGAACGCTGGGAAGGAAGGGACAATCAGACGAGGATCCAGTTGGGAAGAGAATCGCTGAGGATGTGATTAAACGACTTGGAAAAATGATAGCTTACAGATTCTTTGGTGGAACGCTTCTTGAGGTTCACTAGTGGAGTAAATGTCATTGACTTCCTTGCTGACCATCCATCCACCCGATCGGTCCAATCTAGCCTCGATGACCCCATCCCTGATTGCCTTGGCCACCACATACTCGGCATCTTCCTCACTGTCGAGCTTCAACTTCAAACTGACGTCTTTCAACTTGATCCTCGAGTAAGCTAATGAAATCGTTCGTAACGCGGTCTTGATGACGTTATGTCGTAGTCTCAAGATTAATGTGTAGGTCGCATCCGTCAAAAATCGGCTCGAATGAGTACTCAAGGCCTGTTCAAATTTGGTGATATCACCCACTCGTACAGCTATCAAAACAAACACGCGTGAATGAGTAACAATGATGGCTGTATGATTACGACGTTCTTTGCTCATCAATTGAAGAGGAAGGATGAAAAAGGGTCACACACCTTGGACGATTTCGAAATACGGTTGAAGACATTTCTTCAATACTGGCCCTCTGAACAGGGCTCGGTCGGGTATGTCGCCCATCAAAAGTTCCACAACAACAAACAACTTGTGAGTGGTTTGCCAGAACCCAGGGGCGATTTGGGCCGGCGGAGCTCTTCGGATTGCTTGCTGAAGATGGGTGTGGGCCTCTGTGTAATTTAATTGAATCGTTCGAATACGACCTGGAAAGAAGAGGAGAGGTATTAGAAGAATTCCAGGTCATTGGTACCAAAGAGATCAGGTATCGTTCACAGTGTGATATTTACCTAGATAGTAAAGCCAACGAGCCACTTGACCAGTAGGTACCATCCCACCAGCACCCACGCTTGCTTCGGTCTTTCCAAAGTCAGGGAACTCGGTCTTACTGACCAATCGATCGGCTTGTTCCCATAACTCATGGGCCAACAAATTACGGACGATCAAGTTCAAGAGGGTAGCCTCGCTATCCTCATCGCGTCTCAAGCGAGCAGTACGATGGGCAGACATCAAGCTCGATCTGAGGTTCGCCCAGAGACCAGGGTGACTACCATCCTGCTGGAGCAACTCGGCAAATCGAGCATGGTAGAACCATATCTTGGCCGCCAACGGATCGAGTGATCGTCGGTTATGATGCGGTAAGAAATCGGTTACCAAGCGATGGGATAACTCGAATCCAGATCGATTGGGTGCACCTCGTGAGATCAAAAAGATCAAGACCAGTAGTGATAAATAGGTTTCGTGCTCGGCTTGCGACGAAGGATCGGGTAGAGGTGGAGAGTCTTTCGAAGGTTTGGCGGTTCCATTGGGGGCAGTGGATGGCTTGGCATTCGTGGTGGTGGTGGAGATCGGATCAATTTGCATATCGCTAGATTCGGCTTGCGTGATGGATTGCAGATGCGGTAACAACAAAGGCTTGATTTTGGAGTCTGACGAAAGAACAGCTCAAGTTTAATCAAGCTTCTCGGAATAGACTTTTACATTATAGTATGTGACTGACTAGAAGGCAATCCTACGTCGATGATAAGCTTTAACGTCGCCTCAGCTTGATTGGAATCAGGTGACTGAAATTTCTTCTTTGTTGCCGTCAAACATCTAAGAACTCGGTAAGTAAATCTGGGTTCAGATAACTCGACGGCCTTGGATAACAAGCCAAGATGAGTGCGCAAATCTGTCACAAAAAAAAAGAAGCTTGATCAGTCTAAGATCGAGAAATGAGAGTTCAAGAGAAGATAGGATGTTGTTCACTCACTCGATTCGAATGATTTCGGTTGTCCGTTGTTCTGAATTGACTTGGAGTCTTCCTCCTTGGTGGCTAGAGACATCTTTGGTCCTGAAGGCTGCAGTCTTGACTCTTTTCGAGCAGTAGGTGGTTGGTTGTGGATGGGTTTTGTCTTGGCTGGCTTCAAGAAATCCGTCAGGGTTGAGCGGGTAGTGATTACGTAATCAGGCCCTCCGATCACCGATTACGTAGCCAAGAGTCGTCGTCATCAGCCCGGGCGCCTTTCTCAGTGCGGCGCGCGGAGTCCCTCCAACGGCGTCCGCAAACACTCGGCCTCTCGCCGAGTCGTCGGTCTGCTCTGGTCTGGCGGCTGGTCCAAGCCCTGTGCCCCGCCATCAGCAATTGCTCTGAAGCTCTCATGAAAATCATCATCAAAAAAAATCTGGATTGTTTTTTTGTTTCAAACAAGAATTTGTCAGTATTGATACAGTAGAAGTAAAGGGAGAAAAACTCCTTGATTTGCACTGCATCCACTATGGCTGCCTCTTCTACCTGCAACACTCCAGGTTTAAAGTTTGCACACCCACAACAATCAGAAGCATTCAGATGATACAGGCCCATTCTTCCTGTTTAGAAGGATTTCCACTCGAAATATAGAAAAAACAGCTCCTGGGGGGACAGATTTCAGGAGGTCCCGAAGTCTGTGTAACAATTTAAAACTGTTGAAATTTTGAACTCAGCGCGCATGAGTTTGAGGGCCAAAAAAGAAAGGTTTCTTTTTTGGGAGTGGTTCACGGAAAAAGAATGAAAGAACCAATGATTTTTATTCCCAAGTATCTAGCTAGGTTTAAATAGACTAAATACAAGTGTGTCAAAATGGGGTTGGTTGAGAATGAATAAAAATAGGATATTGAATAAAAATAGGATATTGAATAAAAATAGGATATTCAATAAAAACTAAGAGAAATAACAAATTGAGTTCTTGGAAGAAACAATCTTGGCAGGACTTCTCAGTCTCTTTTAGTCAGGCAAGAAGAGTTAATCAAGAACAAACAAGAATTCTATCACAAATATTCAGAGGCGTTAATTCTAAATAATTAGTTTTTAAGAATCAGATAATGAACATAGAAAAAGAAAGAAGTCAATCATGAAGACAAGAGTTGTTGATTAAATTGCTATAGGGAGTTCTAATTAGACTACACAAATGCATAAGTTTCAACAGAAAACCAGCTATGATATGCTATAATTCAGTCCAGTTCAAGATGATTCAAAAAATGATAATTGAGGTAAAATAAAGGAGAAGGATGGTGTGATTTTGGGGAGGAGTAGGCCAAAAGAGGAGAAAACTCAACAAAAACCATGATATGGAAAACTCTCAGTAAAATAATCAACCAATAGAACACTATTTCTTATTTATCTGATCAAACATGGTTTAACTTTTTTCAGCTTATTAGGTGGCACCTACATCCAATCATCTCATCTAAAGAGATAGCCATCACTTGATAATCAATGGTTTTTGTTTCTTTATTCCGAATATCTTCTCAGATATGAATTTTGATAATCTATACCAGGTGTCTTTTATTTTTTCCCAATAGCTTTTGATCCCAGACTTGAACTTTGAATAAAAACTTATTTCTTGTGGATAGTCTGTTTTCCCTGCAGGGGGATTATTCACATGTTCCTTTGGATTAGATTTATCTGGATAAGATGATTTGTCTTTTGCTTCTTTTTTTTTGTAAGTAGATGTTTATTATCAGCAAATGTTACACATGACAATCAATGGGAAAAAAATATTGCTTGTAATCCATCTTGTGAGTCTGACTCACCTTGAATTTCTTTTTCTTTGAGACCCCCAATTTTCTTCTCAGAAAACTTTTCCTCCCCCAATGGATCATTTCCAATTTTGAGGGGTTTTATTTTGGGTGAGTAGCTTGTGTCTATTTGATCTGTGACAGAAGTTGAGAGTTTCTCAGATCCAGCCTTCCCTTGATTAGGAGCTGTAAATGTTTAATGATTTTGTCATCAGGGCCTTTACTCCTTGAATATCAATATAAATACTTACCATCAAATTTTTTGGTTTCACTGATATGAGTTTCCTTTTGTCTCCCAATTATTTGATCTCTGAAAGAAGTAGAGACCTTTTTATAGCCAGCCTTCTTGTGTTTTAGATCTTCTGGGTTTTGAAATTTGGCGTACTTAGGCTCAGGGTCTTTAAATCTCGAATGTTAATATCAAGACTCACCGTCAAATTCTAATATTGCTTGTAATCCATCTTGTGAGTCTGACTCACCTTGAATTTCTTTTTCTTTGAGACCCCCATTTTTATTCTCAGAAAACTTTTCCTCCCCCAATGGATCATTTCCAATTTTGAAGGATTTTATTTTGGGTGAGTAGCTTGTGTCTATTTGATCTGTGACAGAAGTTGAGAGTTTCTCAGATCCCGCCTTCCCTTGATTAGGATCTGTAGATTTTTAATGATTTTGTCATCAGGGCCTTTAATCCTTGAATATCCATATAAATACTTACCATCAAATTTTTTGGTTTCACTGATATGAGTTTCCTTGTGTCTCCCAATGATTTGATCTCTGAAAGAAGTAGAGACCTTTTTATAGCCAGCCTTCCTGTGTTTTGCATCTTCTGGGTTTTGAAATTTGGTGTACTTAGCCTCAGGGTCTTTAAATCTTGAATGTTAATATCAAGACTCACCATCAAATTCTTGATTTTCATTGATATCAGTTTCCTTTTTGTTTACAGAATGTTCATTGATCATTGGATAACTACCAGAATTATTGAGTTCCTCACCCCCAGCCTTCCCTTGTTGTTGGTTTGGAGGTTCCAATTTGTGTGGTGATTAGCCCTGGAAGAAATTAGATTCAATTATAGCAACTCACCTTCATCTTTTTCTTCTTCAAAAGAATTCCTATACTCTGTGGGGGATAACTTTCTTTCTAGATTTCCCTCCTGAAATTCTGGAGGCAAGATTTTTTCTTCTTAAAAAAAATCCAGTCAGTTTTCCAGGAAATGAAAATTTAGGCATCAAAATATGCTGAGGGTTCTTACCTGAAGGTGGAGGGAAGTCAGCAGGAACTCTAATAAAATTTCCTTTGAAATTAACCTTTTTTGTTGGGAATTCGGTGTATTCGTGTATCTGTCGATTGGAACCTATCAAATATCTTGTTCCATATTTTCGTTTCCGTTCATCATCGGTAAAATCGTCAATGTGACGCCATTGCCATCTTTTTTGCACGTAACGTTTCACATATTGTGGAATTTCTTCTCCTGGTTCAGGTTCTTCCTATTAATTTTGAGGGCAGGAAAACATTTTTCATGAGTACAAAAAAGGAAATATGACAGGGCATTGAAAACCTGAGATATGCTGAATGAAAAGCAAATTTATGCTCTAATGGCAATTGTTTCAATCAAGAAAGAACCACTTTTTTTTAATCTCTGAATATCAAGACGGATTACCTTGGGTATTTCAAAAACTTTTACCGGGGATTCATCCCAAGTTACACGCCTTTTAGGATCTCTGTTTTGACGCTCTGAAGATGCACAAGAACATCAATCACAACACAGCCATCTCAATGGAGTCAAATTATTGTTTCGGAAGGCTTACTGGGAATTCCAGTCGAATGCAAATTTTCCAAGATTGGGGGGAATTGGTCCCTTGGTGGACTGTGAAACCGGCCACCATCTAGGTTATAACAATCGCGGAAAGCTGTATCCAGCTTTCCAACTAAATTTTGATGTTTTTACGTCGCAATGGATGGAAGGTTCAGCAACTAATTTTCTTCAGGCATCAGCGAATCACTGACGTGGTTTTGAAGCTGCATCAAGCGATAAAGAATCAAAATCATCAACTTATGGTTCTTGAGAAATAGTATATTTCCATCGGACAGGTGATTCTGATTAAAATCTATATGGCAACAACGACATACCTGGAAAAACTTCCTTCAAAGGTTTCACAAATGTTGGAACCGTGTGCGCAAAAACGCCGTAGGGTTGTATGAAGTGAAGCGCAATAAACAATTGTACAAATAACATGCTTTTAGCTGGCCTGTTCTGATGATTTGATGATTCATATCATGGCAGCTGATGGTGGTGACCACAAGAATCGGGAGAGGAGGTGATTTAAAGTGTCAAGAGAGATTTAGATAAAATTTATCCTGTACTGGATACTATTAAAGCCCAAACTCTGCATGACTGGTGTAGTCTTTCGTCGATGAAGCAGGTAACACCAGCGCTGTCTCAACGGCGAAAGTCTTGGGTACATTTCGATCTCGAGCCGTCTCATATAAGCCGCTCCGTTTCATTTTCCGGGCACCTTCCACAGCACATGTTCAGACGGCTCTGCGTAATGGAGTTTTGGAAAGAGTCGTGATTTCACGAGCAACGTCGGAGAGACGCCGAGGAGGACATGTTGCAATGACGATTACGGGCCCGCTATTAGTTTCAATGGTACGGCGCACCGTGGTGTGATTGCGCTACATGATAATAAGTAGGACACACGATTGCTTCACATTTGGTAGGTAAAACGTCTCCTCCTAAAAGAATTCCGCAATTCTAATTGAGTATCTAGAGACCCAATGTAGATGGTTCCAATGTAGCCGTACTGTGAGATATACCTCTTGTGCCCATCTTTTCACTTCTCTTCCGCAGAAAAAAACATCGATCGGAGATTGAATATTGCTGGAAAAAAATCTGCTCGAATCAATTGTTTTTATTTTGCTAGGATCCTGAGATGTGCAACCTGGATGGATCAAAACAAACAGTTTTTTCACACCTTGCTATGTCAACTTTGTCAGCAGCAGTCACTCCATCATAATGGACATACAAATTTCCTTCCGAAGCGGTTAAAATATAGACATAATCGCTTCAAAAGGTTTTTTTTTTGCGCGCATGGTGTTGTACCTTTATGCGATGATACTTATGCGTGCGCGACCATCCCATCCAAGACACGATCGGCCTCTCGCCGAGTCGCCGGTCTGCTCCGGTCTGTCTGACGGCTTGTCCGGGCCCCGTGGCCCGGCATCAGATTCAGCCGACGCTTTAGTCAGTTTCCGTAAATTTGCGATGGGCATTCATTTAGGGTGGGGCCCTGGAGAGTTCCTCGCCGTTTTATTTTTTATTTTTCTCTTGGGACAGTTTGATTCATCTGCAAACAGAAGTGCCAACCATGACTCCATGAGTGTCATCCCATCGGTTCACTCAAGGGACCCGGACAGCAGCCTGGCAATCCTGCTTGGCAAGATGTTCAAAAACGTTGATCTGTCGGAGATCCATGGATGACCCAATTCGGTGTCTCGGACCATGTCCCATGGAACTTAACACCAGTGAGTGGAGGGCGAGGTCAGCTGGACTCCGCCGTGGGTATATGTACTGCCCAAGACACTCTTGATTTTGGGCGCATGGCCAAAAAGGAGACGATCATGCTCGTGCTTCCACCGACGCATTCGCGTTAAAAATCATGGAGATACCTGAGGCGTGAGAAAACAGCAACAAGTCTTGCTCAATCTTCAGGTCCACATGAGGTTAAAAGATGTTCACATGTTTCCGTTCCACTTGCTTTGCCCTTGAATTTATTGAATGTTTCGGCATCGAGGTAAGCATAGGGAAACCTCGCGCATCTGCCGGACGAGGAACCATTGCGAAGGAGGCTCTCTGCGCCCCGGTGGATCAACCAGACTGATGGAGCTCCCTCATCGCTCTGAAATTGAAAGATGCGTACTTGTGTGTACCTCTTTCCACGTTACCCACCCGCGTGTTGTAAATTGCAAAGAGACATGCAACGGCATCCCATGTGTCTGGGAGTCATGTTCAGACTGGTTGAGCCCGAGTAAGTGGATTTATACGCAGTGTTGATTGTGAGTATGACGACATATTATGTACAACCATCGTCTCAGATCCTAACTGAAGTCCTCAAATCTATCCACGTACCCGGGATTTATAACCTCCGGTACACGTGTGTATAGTAGTTACGCTCAAAAATTATACGCATTTGGGATCATCATTCTTTGAGCGCTAAGGAATAACTTCAGGTGCCTGCTGGCTCTACTGCTATTCTAGTGTATTCCGAAATATTTTATGTATCACTGCCCTTAAGCCCATCAGTCCAGGCCAGGGACTTGGAATTATTTACATTGGGAAAGAGCATCGGTCTGGCTGTGGTGAAAATGTTCTGCTGTTGTAGTATTCATGAGAGGGAAGAATTGTCCCTCCGATCACTAATGCGCGTCAGATCGTCTGTCGCCTCAGCTCCCCCACACAGATAATGCAACAGATCGACATTGCCCCAGACAAGCAGAGCACTCGGACACGTCCGTTTCATGATAACAACGTAAAGCTGTGCTTTGGATTCAGTTTTAACCCGGCCAGAGACGCTGCTGAGTGCTGTCCATTTCTGCCCGGGACTTCAATCTTTACAATGCCGAGCACTGTGAATATGAATGACGAATTCAAGCCGGGCGACTCTCGTGACTAAGAAGGGACCTTTGCCTTTGCCCAGTCTCCTATCACCAATCACTACCCACAAGCCTCCACAGCTTTGAGAGAACTAGAGGAAGATGATTTCTCAACGATATGCTCTCTTTGAATTGAAGGCGGACTTCCAAGCAAAATTTGTTTGTCAATTTGAGAGAGAAAAATCTCAGTTCATTCATCGCCAGTTCGTCAACAAAAAGGAAAATTCAGAGATAATTGCTGAGGAGATCAATCCTCAGCGTTGGGCTTTGGCCAAGCGTATCGATTTGTCATTCACTGATTATGATAATCGAAAGCAGTTTGACCCAATGTTGAATTCCAGGTTGGCAGGGAGCCTTGGCAAGTCGCTGCACTCTTCGCTCCTCTGAAGGGATCTGTTCGAATATAAAAGGTGTGGGAGTCACGGACTGGCTAGAATGCCCATCAATCAATCTATACTGAGCAACGGTCCTTTAAAAGAAGATAATCTCATATCATCGCATTTTAGAACGTAAATTAACTCACAAAAGATAATGTTTCAAAACCCTCCTTCAATGGCAAAATTTGCGGCTCTTATAACTCTTTCAGGTTTCATCTCACTAGCTTTCTCAAGTGGGTGAAAATCTTTTGCATTTAATTATGAGGGAATCAATTTCCCAATCCTTGCACAAACTGCTGATCCATGCATTTCATTTCTTTTTTGTTTCCATCGAGTAGGAGACATTGGAGTTGATCGTTCCAATGTTTTGGCTAAAAGACAAAATCAAATGGGAATCGTATCAGGTAAGGGGCAGTATTATGATGCTAAGGCTACCCCAGTCGGCTCCTTACCGCCACGAACTTCGGGCGATGCACCATGGGTGAGTGACCGCGGCAATTTATCTGGCCGTGTACCCAAAAAAAGCGTGTGCTCCGAATACAAGTTTAACTTCTGTCTGTTTTGAATGGTGTTTACAGAGTCAAGGAGAAGCTTCTTATCAGAAAAGCGTCGGATGTCCTTTGGGACTAAAAAACAAAGCAAAAGGTCAGTGACTCTATATTAGGTCAGATTGGTGGAATCTACTGGTTTAACATTGTTTCAATGGTTTGTTTCACTATCTAGGAATTGTGTTATTGGTGCCCGGAACAGGTATGGTGTTTTTCACTTTTCAAGAATTGACCAGTGATTGACAGCGCTCTTTTTCGGCTTCATGATAGGTGGCGACGCCAGTGAGGCTTACAAGTCGGTGCGTAAACTTCGTATCTTTTTCTGCACTCAAAAACCTGAACCATCTATCGTCTCTCTTGTATACAGTCACCTTATTACCAAGGCCTCCCGTCCCAAGGGTTCGATGTGTGCTGGGTGAATATTCCAAGTGAGTCAAATATTTCAGATTGACTTTTAAAACTTGTTCTCTTTAACCATTGTTTGTCCATTGTTTAGACTATTCCCTGGGTGACATGCAACTTGCTGCCGAGTTCGTCGCCTATGCGATCAAATATCTAGCACCCAAATCGACCGCAAGCGGGGGTAAAATCAACATTGTCAGCTATAGCCAAGGTGGCCCAAACGTGAGTGAAAAAATTCATTTCAATCTTACCCGGTTTTCAATGGTGAACCAGGAATATTGATTCCTTGAGGGGCTTCTGCAGGTTCAATGGGCATCAAGTAGGTGTTTTCAATCTCCTATGAGAGGTTTGGACATTGGAGCTTACGCAGCTTCAAAAAATAGCTTTTTGGCCATCTATTCGAAAGCTCGTCATAGGCCATGTGGCCCTCGCTCCGCCTATGAAAGGCACAGCCTCGACCATACTTCTTTGTCCGCTTTCCAACCTTTCTGGTGGATGTCAACCTTCAGTTATACAACAAACCACGGCAAGTCTTCTCGTCACTTGGGTCATCTTGTTGTGCTTTCTGACTGCTCGATTCACTGACAATGCATGATTTTAGGGATCAAATTATATGAAAGCTGCAAACAGCCTCAAGGATAAACAAAGTGCCGCTTACGCGCTCATTCCAACTACCATCATCTATAGCACTACCGATGAGATTGTTACCCCCCAAACCGGTCCCAGTGTCAGTGAAATGCTTCGCATGCAGTTCTTTCTCGCACAGGGACTGACGTTTCCCTCAACAGGCATCCTCTCAATTGATCGGAGCAACGCGGATCTCAATCCAGCAAATTTGTGGCATTCTGGACAGCCCTGGTCACTTGTAAGTGGATACTGAATTTAATTTCATGATCATTGCGGCTCTCACACCCGGTCATGGTTTGTAGTTTCATTCTGGGAGACGTTGGAGTCTACGGTATCGCACTTGATGCCTTGCTTAAAAGCCGTCCAGCTCAGCCGTCAACGGTCGATCGTAAGCACATTAATTTTTAACCGAGTTGTGCAGAAATTGGGTTAATTCTGAATTCTCTCCCCTTTGTTTCCTTCTTCTCAGGCTCTTATTGCAAAAAGACAGGTGAGTACTTGACATCAACTGTAGTTATCCTGTCTGTTGAAGGCTAATCTGTATCTTCAAACTGAAAATTTCAATTCAAAAATTAAGCCCAAACTCTGGGGTTTCAAATAGGCAATCTTGGGAACGACTTGAAATTTGCCTTCCGCGTTGCTATCGGTGAGGAGAGAGGAAAGATGATTGCTACCCAATTGAGAACTCTAGTCAGTTTCCTAAACGATGTCTAGAGATCAGGCTGAAAGATTAACTCAACTTCTTTATACGTTCCTTGTAGCGTGTTCCGTCGGAGCCTTTGCTTCAGGTATCTATTTTCTTGTCTTGGTAAAGAAGAAATGCGACTGATACAAACCTTTCTTTCTTTCTTCCTAGAAATACGTCTGCGACCGTGGATATACAACTTCCAAATGTGCTTCGAATGGCTTCAAAGACAAGCCTACTAATGGATCGGTTTCCAATCTCAACAAAACTTTATCTGATGATTTGATGGACTGAAGAAATAAATTCCAGCAACACAGAATAACGCTGGTAACCCTGCTTTTTTGAAATTGATTGCACAGTGAAAATTATGCAGGATGATCGAGTCCTTGTTTATTTGATTGTTGGTTTTCTGTTCAAGTTCAACCGTTCTTGAAATGGGTGTCTCCTACTCTAGTGTCAGCAATGACATTCCTTCTTCTCCTTTTATCTGGTGTAATTTTGCGAGCAATTGTTTGTGAGCGAAATGTAGCACAAGGCGGATGAGCCATAAGAATGATCAGAAAGATACCCCAATTATGTTATTGTTGAAGCTATCCTTGTCATCCCTATTCTGGGGAGTTGATTGCAAAAAAACATGAGGATGTTCTGTTTTTTTGTTGATTTGTTGCCAGTCAGTCAATCCTGTGAAATGTCCCGAGTCTCTCAATTACCTGTGACATCTTCTCTGTGTGACACCTTCAGTCCGAGTCTTGCCCTCTTCTTCTGTTGGCAATGATCGATGACTCCCATCTCTGAATCCGTAGGATGTCTTATAATAGTTCAGCAGGGACTTCAGGCGTCCCATTCGGCGCACAGAATGCACTACTGACGGCCTCGGTTCGCGAGCGTTCGACGGACACGATCAAACCATTCGAAGAGACTCTGGTGCGCACCCTGCAGAGGGAGACCCGAGCATTCGGCGACCAGCTCACTCAGGCCGCCGAACACTTCAGGAAACAGCAAGAGGCTCTCGACGAGGAGGATATCCAGATGGATCCTGGTACCATCTGCGCTCTCAAGATGTGTGAGTATGATCTTATAGAAAGTGTATGGGTTGCCAATACCAGGAATTGACTATCTCGGTCTACCACTTAAACCTAGCTGCGTCGACCGCCCGTCACAATAAACGAGTGTTACTGGCATATGCGATGCAACGCCGGAATGCGATCTTGGATGTATACTGGGCCTGTTCAGCCTCGGTGCCCAACACCCTAGTAGCCTCATCCTCGAACGTGAGTGCGGAGAAGCCCGAGGGGAGTTCGGAGCGAGTCAGCGACCCGATCTCCAAGGTACTCACGCCGGTCGAGCTCGAGTACCTCCGAGCCCACTCTACACTCGTCCACGATCTCGCCAAACCATACCACGCCTACACCGTCAATCTCTTGGGTAATCTGGCCAGAGGTCCTTCTCGTGGGCTGTTCATCCAGGTCGAATGTATGCGTGAGTTGGGCGAGGTGGCCGTTGGTGATGGCGGCGGGATGATCAAGTTCGAGGTCGGAAGTCGTTACTTTGTGAAGAGGAGCGAAGTCGAACAACTCATCGAAGGCGGCTGGCTCATGGAGATTCCTCGATGAAGTGTAGTTAATATCACTCACCTCCCCGTCAATTTCTTATCTTAACTGATGGTGTGTTGAGGCACTCTAGGATTGTGAATTGTAAGCTTCATCCCTTTAAACAAAAACAGTGATTTTGAGGAAAGGCCTCTCAGACAATTTCTTGTACTGCTATGAACTCATTAGTGTATTTATCACAACTTGAACTTTGTCGATGTATATCTATACAGATGGTAATTGTAATGACAAGAGAGGTTATAATCTAACTTAACTAAGTCCCTCTTTATTCGGAGGGGGGACGCCGTCCCGCAGGGGCCCTCTCGTCGCGAAGCGACCCTCCGAAGGAGGGTCGCTTCGCGACGAAGGGGGACTTAGCTAAGTTTGGGTTATTATTGGAATGGCAAGGGATGTTATCGTTGTAATGAGAACTTGAGAAGAGAGGTGTATACTCCTGCCCTGTTTATGTATATCATGATGTAATCTGTAACAGCTTCAGAAGCAGTGCCTACGGCCATGAAAGGGATATGAAACTTTTCAAGAGGTTCTCTGGTTGATTGTTATTTGATTCCACTGACTGTTGGACCAGTCGTGAGTCGACCACCCATCTGACATCACATGAAGAGAGCTTTCTCCTTTCCTGAACTTGTCGAAATAAAACATCGTCATTCGAACAGAGGCTCCCCCGGCGCCCTGCGGTCCCCCGTCTCGCGGGAGTAGATCATTTCCCCCGGGGTACCCAGATGACCGAAACTTCAAATGATTACCTCAGCCATCTTCTATGTACCCACCCCAGTCCCCAGTTGAGATGTCTGTTGACCAAAAACCATCCATCACCAACCAAGCCACGCTCAAGGAGGATGTTTCCGATGCTAGGACCACCAAGAGAGAACAAGAACAAGAAGAAGAAGAAACCGAGCAAGACAGTCAGACTAGTCGAACCAACACAGGAGGAGAGCATCGCAAGCAGTGCAGCCTCAAACAGGGCAATCTACCACTATCAAACTAGTTCACCACCACTACCACCCATACCACCCCACAAACTACCATCACCCTCAAACTCATCCATCAACCCAGAAACACTCTTCCCACAGACACTCATCGTCATCTCATTTATCACCCGGCTCCCATTGAAAAGGAACCAAGGACAAGGGTCGGTCTCTCACCAAAACTCAACTGAACTCATTATTCATAAATCAAAACAAAACAAACACACTGCTTTCTCCCCATCATCTCAGAACTGAAATCTTATTCTATAAACCCAAGACGACCCTCAACCCATCCGAGTCTCACCACTGTGCATTCAAATGGTCAGTTTGAACCCACCTACACAAACTCAGTCCATCGATCAACTCATGACATCTGATTGGAAAATTTAACAGTATTCCAAAGCATGGGCCAGGAACAGGATCGAAATGGACTTTCCTATTTATCGATGGAGGGCCGATCGAAGAAGTGACTGCTGAACAACTATCCTTAAGATCAATCAAGCGTCATCTCTCACCGCCGGACGACAGGTTGGTCAAGGTTCGGACGAGTAAAGCTCTCAGGTGGGATAACGACACCCTGCTAGTCTCAGTGCTCTACCGGCTCAAAGAGATCGATCGTAAGAAGGATGAGGAATGGATCAAGATGGATGTCGAGTCTCATTACTGGTCCAAGATCTAGTACGCCAACTCCCTCAAGGCTTTCATCAGTGAAAACCCTATTGACTTCTTCATCCGATCATTCCTTCATACAGTGGATTTCATGCGGCCATCGAAAAGTCAGTCCCTGTTCACAAACAATAGAATTCCACCCACCCACGGAGATATTGATGGCGATCATTCTAGTGAACTAGTCTCTACCGCCCTAGCGTGAGTCTTACACCTATCAAACCTCATCCAAATCGGTATATTACGCATCAAATGACATCGTTTATCCGTCCCATCTCCTCGCATCTCATTTTTTTAGGGCCGTGTCATTTCCAGTTGCTTTTAATGTAGGCTTTGAAGAAATCGCCCAGCATGATCCACTTACCCGCTCAGATGTAGTCACTCTCAAGTAAGCTCTATCCCAACACACACTATTATTTAATTCATTTTGACACATCTGCTCTCCATTGTCAGAGCTCTTGAGACTCTCTATCTGTCTGTTCAAGCCGGTTACGCAAGAGATGTCAGTGTATTTTTTCTCCTTAATATCTTCTAAAAACATTAATCTGAATTTTCCTTTTGGCAAATTTTTACAGGGATTTAAATTCTATCCTCAAACAGCCGAGCCGCTTAAGAAAGTTGGAAATACCGACAGGGATTTCAAGCGACGGATATGGGCATATTGGACTGAAGTAGGTGGTTCCGATCATGTTTTATTTTTAAAAAATGGACAAAACAAATGGTAGGATCAATGCATATCAGGATGTGATGATTGACAAGTTCCAAGTTGGATGAGTGTAAAACAGGTCCTTTGTTGGCATCTTATCGAATGTAGAGCGGTCTACAAGGTCTCGATCAGCTATGCAATCAATAAAATCTTGGCCGTCTTGAAGCCAGATGTTCGGAATGATAAGGTGAATGTGGAAGAAGTGAGTGATTATTGACCTGTCAACTTCATCTTTCTCGGGTCCTTTGATTGTGTTTTTCTCGCTTTTTTGATCTGACTTTAAATCTTGTCATGTAGTTGGAGAAACGGATGGTAGGCGCGATCGGAGTCGAAGCTGATCGATGTCAACAATCAATCGAAAATATCGTCAAACATGCTGTATTTGAAATCCTTCACGTACCTGATCATTACCCCTTGATCAATACAATTACCTCAATCCATTTATTCACTCTGGGCTCATCCAGCGCAACCTATGAGGCACTATCGCAGCTAGGCATGTCCGATCTCTGTATTCCCCCATCTCATTCCGCTTGTCTGTCATTCTGATTGACTTTGTCGACTGTCCGTCAATAGTTAAATATTTCATGACTCAATCCCGTTGGAAGCTAGGATTAACCAACGAGGGAGCGATCGAAGGGCTGAAGATAACGATCGCAGAAAACCGACCTCTACATGAGGGAGTGATCCTGGCGAGCAAGCTGAATGAGCTTATCAACGTCTACCAGGCCCCTCGTCCGATACCCCCAAAAGCAGACAACGCGCGGTCACTCAAACACGCTCCTTCACTGCGGGCGCTTGACACTCTTCTCGACTCCAAGGATTGGTATCTCGACGCTGATCATCAGAAGGTCTTGGATTCATTTGAAGATTGTCACCCGGCTCCACTTACCGGCTTGTTCGCTAATACTCCTGTCATCGGTCAGGATGGAGATGACAGGGGTCATTTGGGAGATCTTCTGGAACGGTTGGTTTATCGGGGGTTTAATCTTGTGGCCGATCTCTGCAAGCTTTATGCATTTTCTCATACTAATTCATCTTTTTTTTCTTTTGTAGAGTTAATATCTCTAACAATTTCCAACTTGGTGATCATAACCAAGGCGAATCGGATAACATCAAGGTCCAAGTTGAAGTAACGACTGATGTCGGTCTCAGGAGCTGTCTTTTGAACGCCGGTCCAGCCGGGGTCTTACTCCTTGCAGCCGATCGAGTGTCAGCTTCATGAATTTTGTCTTTTCTTCTTATAAGTTTTGGCATCGATCTTCATCTGGAAACTTATCCTGACATTGGATCCTGGTGTAGGTTACCGAATGGTGATGCGTTATGCAAGTTGGGATCGACTTCGGTAAGTATACCATTCCAATTGAAAAAAGGGGTGACAAGACGAGGTTACTAGACTAACTTGATTTTTACTTCATGCGAATGTGAAGGCTGCTTATACGGCACACAAGCTAGGCCAAATAGTAATAATTCTAGTGCGACATGACCGAGTCCATCCGTCGCACGAACCTCATCCACCTCAACCGACCACACCAACATCTGTTATGAGCACTAGTCAGCAGGCGGTGGTGTCCGGGATGATCGAGAGCTGGAAACGGATCTTCAAACATGAGATCATCGATCAACTCTCTCGCAAAGTGCTTGTTGGTGGCTCTGAAGTCTTACCTCCTGCTACTGCTACTGGTTCTGATATTGCTCATCCGCTTGCCGGATTCGAGGTCGTCAAGGCTCAGTGGATCTCTTGCTTTATCACTGATTCTGGTTTGTCCATTCTTTTTCTCTCGTCTTACACTTCTAAACCTTGTTTCATTCTATAGACATACTATCTCAAGAGTGAAGTCAGTTTATTGACTCTTGTTTTTTTTGGGGGGGGGGGTTGGGGGTTGGGAAATAATGATGGTGGTGGTGATGGGGTATGTAGGTAAGATGGGGCTTGAGAGGGTTAAAGAAGTCGCAGAGACTTTGTCTTCTCTTCATCATTTACTGTGGGAAGAAAATGATCATAACCAACCTTAATGTAAATTCTCTTGTATTTCCTGTTTTTTTTTTTTCGTTTATCATCATATGCATGTATTACATTAATAACCTGGTTCTTGTAATGTCAGAAATCGTCAGTGACTACTCGCATCTTTTTGTTTATCTGGAAGGTCGGCTAGATGAACAGCAAAAAGAGCTGTTCAATCGGTCATGACCAACAATTTTTATGGCGTGTGTACTTGGCGTGTATACTTCTGTAGCTGGCCTGTATACTTCTGTAGATCATGGTATCATAGTGGTTGATGGGGTGATGACCGGCCACCACCCCTTAGCTCACATATGTAAGAGAAGGTCAGCGGTCTCCTCCCAATCTCCCAATTTCAGCGCGATAAAGGGGCCGGAGAGATGGGATTGCTCAGTACGTCATGATATGGCAATGGACGAGCTTGTACAGCGAACTGAACGCCAGTCCTCCACTCCTCCTCAGTCCTCCCAGGCTGAGTGACACCATGGCTGGCATGATGTGAGCAGGCGGTGGCCATGTCGCATCGACTGGCTGACAGGGTATTACGCTGCTGTCCCGTCGCTGCTCCAGCATCGAGCCAGCTATTATGGCCATCTTCCGGCTGTCCCGAAAAGCCATCCCGGTAGATCCCGGTGTCGACTTTGAATTGGATGTCAACGCCAGGGGAATGCCATTTCCTGCTAACGCCGACGTGGACGCCTGGCTGATGCCTTTTCAGTGGGCGTCCGCGAATTGAATTTGCACCCGTGGTGTACATATACAGGTGCATGTACAAAGATGGATTCAGTTTCCCGAAAACGGTGGGCTGATTAAATTGATTTGTTGAGTCCCCTGCCCTGGGGGCTTCCATACACCCTGGCTATGTACATACAGCGAACACAGGAAAGCTTGTTAAGATTCTGAACCACAAATAGAGCCTCCACCTGTCCTCAGCCGCCCTTCCAATATCTCTTCCAATCCATCTCAACTCCAAGATACATACAAACTCACGCCGATCATCCCTATCCCAAGTACTTTTCCAGCTAGTTTACATTCTTTTCTCCGCGCCCAGCTCTCACTATGCTATCCATTAAAACGGCCATTTTTTTGGCGATTGTCGCCTGCGGGTTTGCAACTGAGTTGACTTGGGAGCAGAGAACGAGGTGCGTTTTTGAATGCAACCCCATTCATCAAGGAGGTTGTGGGAGGGTAGTGGATCGCGACAAGAATGGGGGAGAAACCCAATGGCGATGTCAGTATGGTTTCTCTATCCGGGTTTTACCATTGGTCCGCTGACGACCTTCTACACAAAACTAAAAACTCCTCTCGCTCCATGGTTTAAATTTAATAGACACATGGGCATTCGAAACCGAGGGTCATCCCAACTTGTACAATTGCTACGATACCGATAGCGAGTTCAACATTTGCCCTGAGCCCGGCAGACTTGTAATCCCCCCCGGTGAAACAGTGAGTACATTGAGAGTCTAATTATTTCCAAATCGCACAAAGCTGACACAACACCTCAACCTTACTGCCGCACAGGACATGTTCGTCACCGACCGTGAAGTCCACTACAGCCTTGGACCCCCCATCACAAATTTGCCAAAAACGAGAACAGACCTCAAGGATTGCCTGCCTTAATCGCAATAGCTCATACCCATCAAGTCAACAAGAGGATGAAGGAAGCATCCCTTGACTCCCCCACATCTCAGCAAGAGTTCCCCATCCACATGACCAGCAATATGTATATCTCTTCCTTGCTCTAAGCGTTTGATACTATCCCCAGCTTCAGCACACAAAAACTTGCACTATTTTAGTCTACAACCGATCCACCTCTTCACAAAAATCATGTTTTTCTATCCTGGAATTCTAGTGATGATAGCGATATTCTTCTTGAACGAAACACATGTAACACAATGCACTGCATGAACTCACCCCGGACGGGCCTGTCCGATAAGAGCCTGGACAAGCCTATCCGAGCAGATGTCGGACATGGCTGTCCGACGAGTCCACCTGGTTTTCCTTGGTTGTCGTTAGTGGTAGGAGCTGGATATCAAATCAAGCCGAAAGGAGTAGTTGCTTATCTTGCAGGCTAAATTGTTGTCTAGCCATTAGAGTCCCATTAAACAAGCAATTTGCAAACCTTGGTGATTGCAAAATGATCCTTGTGAAATATGTGAAAGTGGCAAGTACTCTTCTGAAAGCATCTTTCTGATCTGCTGTAAAAAATGAAACTGGGTATGCTGATGAATGCAACAAAAGGAAGGAAACTAATGGGCCTCAAAGTATTATATATCTTTCTTCAAATTTCAATTGAACTCACCAGATTTTGTGTGAATCAAACCCTTGAAGTTTTCATATACAAGCTTGATGGTGTTTGCTATAGTTGCAAAAGAACTGATTGACTGAAATTCCCGGTGATCTTTTGACTCACAAGCTGCTTTTATCCTTGCAAATAGAAATCCATCCAGAAACACAGATTGCAGCATGATTTGGAGGCTGGTCTTGCCCATAGGCTTGAATCTTAGCATGCAATTTAAATGTATGAAATCATTATCTGAAACACAATGGAAAGAAATTATCATGCATAGGCAAAAACTGTGAAAACGAAGAGGTGGGTATGAGAAATGGAGGATTGATTTGAATTTTGATCCCATTTTCTACATAGTTTGATGGTGCAGGGCATCCAAACCAAAATTGCACACATTTTCTTGGAATATCTTTCCATGTTATCTTTCCTAAGGAAAATGGAGTAAAACATACCTGCATCCGTCTTGTGATTTGATTTGTTTCCAATTTTCCCAGCCATATAATTGTTGTACCCTTCCGGCTTTTCATTATCATCATGTGTATGTATTACATCACAAATAACCTGGTTCATATTCTCAGAAATCATCAGTAACTACCACATCCCATTTTTTTTTATCTGGAATCGGGGCTAGATGAACAGCAAGAACAGCTGATCAGTTAATCATGACCATCAATTTTTATGATGTGTATAATTCTGCAATTTGTCATATCACCATGCATGTGTGGTTCTGAAAAGGCCACAAAAAATCTACGACGGTCGCCGTATGCACGAAAGGTTTGATTGGTTTCGGCTGTCACTACACGAGTAGAGCTCTTGACTCAAGCCGTTCGGATGTCTGATTTTGGGAATGGAATGATGCAAAAGTGGTTGATAGAGCAATGACCGGCCACCAGCCCTCAGCATATTAAGAGAAGGCCAGTGGTGTTCTGCCGATTTTGAACCAGTCCAACAAGTGACATGGAGGGGCAGGAGAGATAGGATCGCTCAGTATGTCATGATATATGTGGGGGCTTGCCACCGGGTCAAAATGACTACCCAAAGTGTTAACCCAGACTTGCCCGCAGGGTCAAGTACCAGTAACAGTAGCGCGATGAAGAGGTCGGAGAGACAAGCACTTACTCCGTCTTGAGATGGGGGGGCTTACCATCTGAATAGACCTACTATATCCGAAGTGTAGACCAATGGAGTGGTGCGATTCTGATCTGGTCCGCCGCGTGGGCTGTCATAAGCGCGGTGAAGCGGCCGAAGGGACAGGCACTGGGTCCGTCCCGAGATGAGGGGACTTGCAACCGGGCCATAATGACCATCGGACGCGTGAGCCAAGAGAGGGCTGGCTTCGATAACCGCGATTTCAATTTAGTCTACTCAAACACCACTAGCGCGCTGAACAGGCCGGAAAGACGAGTCTACTCGGTCCATTTCCAGATGAGGGGGCTGGCAGCCGGCATAACCTGACTGGTCTGGATAAGAACAAATATGTAGTATCGCCCTCATCTTTTTGGCCATAACAGGTCTATAAAAGGAGGACTGTCCTCGCCTCCAACCATTCTCCCCTCATCCCACTCCATCACTTGATTATACCATCCACTCACCAGCTCACTTCCACACTCCACTGTTTGCGCTCTAGTCTTCCACCACCTACCCCCCAAGAATAATCGCTTGATAACATTTTTTGGATTCAGGCCCCCAACTCTCAAACCGTGCAATAACACTCTCAACAAGATGTCTTCCAACCAAATCATCATCGCAGCCTCTGCCTTCGATCAAAACTCGTGTTTTGAATCACAACTCTCATCGCAGTCTCAGTCACTTATCAAAGCGCGAAGAACAGCGTCAAAATCGCAGCCATTTGCGTTTCAAAGGCAATCAGAGCTGCACTGATATCCAAACTGAGATTCGTCGCAGCGTTTCTCATTCTTCAAGTGCATCTCAAACTTCCAGCCAACAACAACGACCCAACAGAACCCTATTGATTCGAGCAAGTCATTCTCGTGTGGCCCTATCCCCGTGTCTATCAACCCCCTCCAAGATCCATTCTTCGATCTCTAATTCGACCGCGTTAGGGGGGAGTGAAAAAGTCCTCAAAATGCTTCATTGTCGACCAATACTCGTGATTGAAACCCAGTCAAATCAGGTCAAAGAGATCAGCTCAACAAAGCCTGAGAAGAAAGCTTACAGCTTATCCCCCTCTTGGTGTTCACCCAACATCCATAGTGCAGCTCACAAGTACAATGTCTCCAGAAGTCAAAATCAACAACCCAATAACGATGTTCTGTCGGTATTCCTTAACAACAACGGAGGCTACTTGGACGACAGCGATGATGAAGACGACGAAGACGAAGACGATGATGAGGAGGAGGAGGATGAGCCTAGATTCAATTCAATCAGAGCCACAGTCGGCTTCCTCAGAAGAATCCCATCCTCATTCCAATCGTCCATCCAACGTTCAATTTCCAACTCGCCTTCTCTCTCTTCCGCGAGCTCCATCCATACCGATAGCTCAGATTCTTTCATCGACTTTAACGACGCTCGGCTCAACTATTGGGAACGTGTCCAGAAACCTGTCGTCGTCCAGTCAACTCCATTTCGAACTGGATTCTCTCCATTCACGTTTTTCAAAAAATAAATCATACGTCGTCAATAACCAAATGTCTAATTTTGGGTCTTCTTCATCTACTTCTTTTTGGCTCCCTTTTTCTCTTCTCTCATCCAGTTACTCTTTTGAGTAATTCAGTATCAGTATCAGTCTTCTTCTCTTTGTTCAGTTCTCTCTTTCTCTCTCTCAAATTCAAGTCTTATGTATCAGTATGTAGTACCAATATTATTTCTAGTCAACGTAATTTCAAAAAAATCACAATTCATAACCAAATAGCTGCAGATCTTTTTCTCCAGATTTTATCTTCCGCTGGAGATAGCATTGATTGCAGTGATTTGGACGCAAGTAATAGGCTCTCCAGATTCAAGCCATAGCATTCTGCATAGTCACATATGTCGGTGAGCTGATTGACTTTGAGACTATTGCCTAGGAACAGGTTGGCATGTACATGTTCTGGGACTGTGGAGAATTCATTTTGATTCATGGGGTCTCCATCTTCCCTTCTATGCAATGTAACATAGCTATGTCCAAACAACAACCACTGACCCCAGTCATCATCATTCAATCAGTCTTCAGCAGATTAGTCTCATCAAAATTGATCACCACTCAGTGGTCTCAATAATATCAACAAAACTATGAATTTCAAACCAAATTATACAAAAGAGATTTTCTCAATTGATTGAATAATGTAGTACTAGAATGCATTTTGAAAAAAGAAATTGATTAGATGGTATTTTCTTCGGCCTCTCTTTGTGTGTTGAAAAATTGAACTGAAAAATACTGGCAATGCGGAAGATTTAAGAAGTAAAGAAGCACCACAAATTCCATGGATTTTTTGATTTTTGTTTTCTTGAAGTGGATGATTCAGCAGATTGATAAAGAGGAGTTGCCCATGATACACTTTTCACATGATGTTCTTGATTATTTATTATAGAAAGGGACAGCACATAGTCGGTTTGTGAGCTTCTTGATCAAAATTTTGCATCAGAATGCTTACTAGGTGAGTCATTTGAAGTCGAGCCATAGTCATGTGACTTTCTTGCGGAGCTCTCTGGGCTTCCTGTCACTCCTTTTAGTGCTAACATCAAACATAATTTGCCCTCCTCATCCCGTCAGCTCTGAGTATTGATAGAAAGCATGTATCTGAAAGCCTTTTGACTAATTACCAGGTTTCAAAGAACCTCCGACGATTGTCGTTTTTTTCTCACCAGTTTCCGTTTCTCGAACCTCTGATACTTTCAAAAAACAAATGAACAAGAGCAAGTTGCAACTTCAGTTTTCCTATATTACGTCTTTAGGTTGGTAGGAGATTTGAGGCGTGAATGGAAACCACTGACCAATCGATCGTTTGAAGTACCGTACAGCTTTGCCGTTTGCTTCAGATTGTTTTTTGGAAAGTGAGTCAGTGGACCTGCTATCTGTGAAAATCTACGGGGTGAAGAAGCACTAACAGCTCTCTGAGGCTGTTACTGGTTTTTAAAACGAAAAATGAGCATCAAACTTGGAGAATATAGATCATACTCCTTTGCGAGCTGTTAAACCACAGGCCGTCATAATAAACATACATACCATGGGTGATAATCCCCTGCAGAGGTTTTGCGAATAAAATTCTGCAGTATTCAAATAGGTGAAAGGCGATTAGGATTGGTACGACTAGCATTGCCGGTGAATGACTTGTTTTGAGAATTTGATATCTGAGTTCGGGGAAGATGTCTATGAAGATGTGGAACTTGAGAGGGAAGCGGAGATGGCTGGGGAAGTCAAGAGCCAACCCAGAGTATATAACCTCTAGCCTTCCTTGCTGTGCACCATGGTTCCTGCTATCACAACACACCCCAAATCAAACCCAGACGATCTTATTCATATAGTTCGCGCAGTGGTTGTTAATAACCCAGCCAGTCTGACTCCTCAATCGATTGTGGCGAACCGCTTGTCGGGCTTGCTGTGTCTAACAGAACAGTTTCAGGGTTCATACCTGGAGCGAAACTTGAGAAAGTTATGAGCAGCTCTTGAAAGGATATGCGAACATGTTTGCAGGCGGGCTGTCTGGCCCGGAACCCACGGCGATCTGACTATCGAGTCCGGCCGGCACCAATGAACGTAATTTACAGCTATTTCTCTATCTCATCAGGTCTGTCGTGTCGGGTAGACCGACGGACCCGATGGGCAAGTCAACTATGTATAATGGTCAAGATTAAACTCGTAGCTGGCTTGGCTGTGGCATCTTGACGTTATCTGTTCTTTTCCCTTGAAGTTTTTCTATCCACCCTGAGCCACTTTGTGACTCGCAGTCAGAAAGTAGACAAAACAGTCTTTCGAACGCGAACGCCGAATCTGATTGCTCCACCGGGCCCAACGTTGTTCTACACCATACATAGCAGGTTGGATTCCTTCGCCCTCTGGGTCTTGTGGGCAAGACGCCCGCGTCTCTCGGAACAGGGGTCTTGGGCTTCCGCTCGAGAAGCTTTGGCAAGCTATGTAAACATGTAGAAGAATCACTAGGTTAACATTAAAGCCTCTTCCTCGAGCTAACCCGAGGAATGATATCCGTAGGACAGGGTTCGCCCATCGCTAGTGCCCCAACAAGAGACCGATACTTTTGTGACCATGGCAGTGAACCCAGCAGAAGCACCAAACTTAACCCAGTTGGGTGCTCGGGCTGCGAGTCGAGGATCTTGATTAAGATTGCAGAAGGACAATGAGCAGAGACACTGGCAAAACGTGCAAATTATGATCTGGGGCTACTGAGAGCTAAGTCTAGCTTGCATGGACCAAGCGTGCCGACATGCCGTGTCTTTTGCCAATGAAAGTCTCGAACCTGATTTGACCATCAGGATGTTGCTTAGCCCGATTGTTTCCATTTGTTCATCATCACTTACTCTTGACCCAACTGGGTCATGACTCACACTTAAGCGCCCCCTCGGCCCTCAGGCTAAAAAACCAAGTTATTTTCAAATGCTTCTATACAGGTGAGCTTCCCAGCTTAGTTGGCGCGTCTTCCGGTAAAAGACATGCCTGAGTACGTTTTAAACATCAAGGATGCATAGTGTTCACTTCGTAAAGCATTGGGAATATCATGGGGGGGGGGGATAGTCATCCACATCCCAACAGACCTCACGTCTGAGGTTTCGTGATGGTGTGGAATTTTCCAGGCTAATGACTCTCCGCTCTTTCCAGAAGCGACATAATGTGAGTCGCTGTGCGGAGATCCTCGGTTCCTGCTGCTATCTGCCATGGAGCGCTTCAGGCTCGACTATATAAACCGGATGAATGAGCAGTTCAGGTTTCCGTCACCTATCCCATTACATTTCTTTCTGGGTAGCACATTCAGTTTTCGCCTTTGATTTTCTTTAATTCTCTTCGATTTTCTTTTTTCCATACGATCTGTGATCATTCAAATAACGCCGGGCGCTTGACCTTCCAACGCCAAGATAGAATACTGGGATTATGTATGTGCCACAGCTTGACTGACTGCCCCAACACTTCTCAGCTGAAAATCCTGCAAGGATGTTGATTCCAAATTCACCCGGATTCGTTATCCATCAGAAACTCAGCAGGTAAAAATTCGACCCAAGAAGAACTCTTGTTGAGGATACCCTTGTTAACTTTATCAGCCGGAGAATGGGTTTTACTTCTTGGATTTTTGTTTTTCTTTTAATCGGACCATTGGACTGTATTTCAAGTTAGTCTGATTCTTCTTCAAATTTCTGGTACCCGTCGCTCTTCTGACGGAAGTATTCCCTATAAATTGCAGCCTCTCTGCCTTTGTCAAAAAGACAGACACTGTTGGACATCATATCAGGCAATGACCGCTTTTACGATGTAACCGCCAGCCCGGAGGGTCCTTTGCCCCCGCAAGTCCCTGGTGATGCGCCATGGGTGAGTATTCCGTGATAAACAAACAATCACTAGGCTCGAAATTGTCTCAAGAAAGAATGTCACATTAACCTTGTATTTTGTTTCTTACATCCATGTACCCCATCGATAGACCCAAGCAGAAAGCTCCTATCAGAAAATGATCTCCTGCCATTAGGTATTCAAAACAAAGAGAGAGGTATGTTTCATCTTGCTACTCACAAAAGATCCGGGTTTCTCTTGAGTTTGACCGAACTTTACATTACAATTAGGAATTGTGCTCCTGGTTCCCGGCACAGGTGAGTCGAAAACAGAGTAGGGACTCATCGCCAAGAGTCTAGGACACTGACTAAACATGCATCACGACAGCGGGTAGTGCCAATGAGGCATTCAAATCTGTACGTCTGTCTTAGAAACTCACGTTTTAACCAGACTGCTCACCTCACACTGTCATCCCACATCGAAAAAAAAAAAAAACGCAGTCGGCTTATTACCAAGTTCTTCCATCGCAAGGTTTTGATGTATGCTGGGTAGATACACCCAGTGAGTCAAATTCTGATCCCGATATAGGCTCTTTTCAAGACTGATCTGGTTTTGGAAATGGTTGATCGAAGATTACTCGCTCACCGATATGCAATTGGCGGCCGAATTTGTCGCTTACGCCATCAAGAGCCTAGCCCCTCAATCAATCAAAACTGGTGGTAAAATCAATATCGTTAGCTATAGCCAAGGAGGTCCAAATGTGAGTGATTGTTTTCTTAAAATCAGGAATTTCAAGCGTACGAAAGGCCAAGGAAAAAAAATAGCTGATAGACACTCAAAACTGATTGATCAATACGCCATTTACCAAGGTCCAATGGGCTTCGAGTTCGTTTATTTCTATTTGTTCTTCGAGCTTGCGAGTTGAGTAGATGAGGGCTGACCGATTATAATCAAACAGCATTTTGGCCCTCGATTCACAAACTTATCACTGGGCACATTTCACTTTCCCCTTCGATGAGAGGCACATTATCCAGTCTAATTCTTTGCCCTGCCTCCAATATCGCGGGAGGGTGTTTACCTTCAGTCTTACAACAGACAAAGGTGGATCCAGTGCTATATTCAAGGCTCCTCATTTGAGCGATGAATCACTCCACCTGAATTCTCCTGACTCTTCAATGCTTTTGTGTGCACGAACGTCTAGGGCTCAAATTACATGAATGCAGCTAACAGCCTCAAGGATACTCGCAGTGCGGCCTACGCGCTTATCCCTACCACGATCATTTACACGCTTAGCGACGAAATCGTAACGCCCCAGTTGGGATATTCGGTGCGTTCTCCATCCGAGCGTGCAAAGTCAACATCAGTTTTAACATCCAATATTTCTTCACCTTTTTTCGCAGGCATCCTCCCGACTTATCGGAGCTTCCAACATAGTCCTTCAGAACATCTGTCCCTTGTCCTTCGACGTAGACCATCTGTGAGCATCGTAAATGATTTCTTTTTTCCTACTTTGATTTCACTCATGAAGTTTCAAAATCTTCTTGATCTAGTGGAATACCGGGTGATGTTGGAGCGTACGGAATTGCGCTTGACGCCTTGCTGAATGGCCGTCCGGCCCAGCCTTCCACGGTGGATCGTGAGTAACACATTTTGACTTAGCTGCAATTCATAGTACTTGGTAGACTGAAAGAATTCTACACGGTTGTTGCCCGATGCAATCTACTCCAGGCTCGTATTGTACCAAGACAGGTCAGTGATCTAGTCTGTTGGACTTGTATCGTAGACTATTTAGGCTGATGGGGAGCTTTTTTAATGGTACTGAATTATCATTGAAGCTGCGAGCCTCGGATTCCGACTGAATAACGCGGCAAACGACCTGCGATTCGTATTCCGTAATATATTTGGCACTCGAAGATTCCAAATGATCTCTTCAGAACTCCAGACTCTGGTATGCTCCAACCTTGTATCAAGTGCCTGACAGCCTGGCCCAGGAAGCTGATTTCATACCTGTCCTGATGCACCTGTAGCGAGTTCCGGTCGAACCGCTATTGCAGGTATGCACTTTACCTGAAAAACTTTCATTTCAAAACCCATCAAACCTGTCCTAATACAGATCTTTTCTCATTGTCATTGTCAGCAATATGTGTGCGACCGTGGATACGCATCGTCCGGATGTACTCGCAACGGATTCAGAGACAGCGCCCCAACCGAATCAATCTTTGCCGGACTCCTCTAATACATCCTCCTCTGATTCTGAAGTTTTGTCTCCTGTGGAAAACTTCTTATCATCCACTGGTTCGCCGGGGAGCTAATTTCGTGTGCTGAGTACGCAAGAGGCTGAACTTGCAAAGATCAGACCTCATCTGTCTTGCCATTTTTTAATATTTAATTTGTGATTCTTAAACCTACACCTTAATTTATCTTGTGATTTTTGAATTTAATTTTCCTTGAAATTTTCGAACCTAATTCATATTGAGTGCAGACTAGATAACAAGCTGCGTGCTGCGGCGGGGTGGGAAATTCAAGCGGGGTGTTCGAAAGACTTCAGCAGTGGAGACATGAGCTTATTCCACCAGGACAAGGATACCCAGAGACGAGAACGGCACGAAAGAAGACAGCACAGAGAATGAAGACAAGCCCATCAAAGACAGAGGACGAGCAGAAGGAAGACCAACGGTTGCTGGGCGAGATCAACGCGAGAGCCTTTCCAAGCGGACCTTCAACCCAGCAAGACCTGATAGACAGACGACGCCAAAAGAAGGATAATCAGACCGAAACACTAGCTAGCCATCAGGCACCAGAGGCAGACCCCAACCAGGAGGAAAAGTCACGTAAAATACCCTCAAAGTATGTGTCTCTTTTCCTTGCTCTTTTTGTCTTTGAATATCGGTAGGTCAAATCACATGCAACACTTCCTTCTTGTTCTTTGTGGGTAGGTTGGTCGATCCTTGTCAAGCAGCGCGGAAAGTGAGTCAAAGAATTGCTTTTTTCTGAGAGGAGGGGGGGGGGGGCACCAAGACCATTTCTTTACTGGAGAATTGACTGAAAAGAAATACGGGTAATTCTAACGCTTATGCTTTTATTTTCCAATAATAAAACAACAATTCGGGAAGGCCTCTCACAGATGTCTTGATCGGAATAATTATGATAAATCGCTTTGCTATGACGTAGGTTTGGGTTCCTTCTCCGCTCATAAGCTCTTGATCATCTTAGAGTTCTTCATATAATGTGCAAATGACAGATCACCGTTTTTGTACTTCGAAACGTCTCCTCCTGGCGACCATGATACACCTCATATCAATAATGAATCGATGTTGACAATGTTTTTGTTTTTTTGGCCAAAAAAACAGTACTTCGAAGTATATAGGGAGTGTCAAAAGCGATGGGTAGATTCGAGGAAGAAGTGATGGCTCTATCATTACAAACACAATCCGGGTAGATCAAGACTCTCATCCATCGTTCCCAAGTATGTAGCAAGCAGATTATCTAACTCGAAGCAATGCCGGGTCGAACAGCTTGATCGAGTATAAGATCTGATCCACGCACGTATTGCCCATCCTTCAAATTCACATCCAGCAAGTTCACGATGTTCGCCTTTCTTAGTCATGTATATCTGGTTTTGCAGCTCTGATCTTGACTTGTAAAAGGCCGCACCCCCAACCGGTGCTGTCATTTTGGGAGCCCCATACTGCTTGCTTGACCATGGCAGTCATTGTGCTGTGGTCTGGGGTCTGTGTCACAGAATTTTTGCCTCAACCGCGTACCATCCTCAAAGCAGAATGATCTTCACTGATAACTGCCGCTGTGTCAATAGTAAATCTCACAGGCTCATATATATCAAAATTAAGTTTGATAAACTTGTCCTTTTATGAGAGTCAAGCAGCTTCTATTTGCAAGAAACCTAGGGCAATGAGTGTACAATGGACCTCTCACAAAAGCTCCCATAATGACTCTAGTCTCCCTCTTTTGTTGATTATTTCCTTTTCCAATCACTCAAAGGAAGTGGGCTGATTGATTGATAATTTGAAAGCGCAGAAAACATGCTCCTTGTAATGAATTAAAATGTGAATACTTCAATTAGTAATACTATTAATAAGGGCCAATCAATAACAACTTTCAATTGAGAATGGAGTTCCCGAACACCAATACTTCCAACGTGGTACTAATTGGGGACCAAGAGGTCTTGGAGAGCGGTTCCAGTTGAAACCTTGTGCGTGCAAGATCGCAGATCGCTAAGGGATACAGTACCAGCTGGATGGAATAAGTCCAGTTTTGCTGTCAGTCATTCAATAAGCTGAAGGTAGAATTGATGAGCATCAAGAGAACTGTACCTGTCAAACTTGCTTGAAAGATCAACTGAGTATGAGTGCTCAGCAGATGGGGCAACCAGTGCAACACCTAAGTCCTGGTGGGTTGTAATTTCTCTTGCTAATGCTTGCCTGGGCTCTGGTGTCTGCATCTTCAAGGCCAACAGGAAGCTCGTCGTGGGGGGCTGGGGTGGCCAAGACATGCATTTGGAAGACCATTAAGAGGAATGTTGGCACAATAAACTTCATCTTGTGTAGGTGGAAAGCGTTGAAGTGTTTTTTTGATCAAGAGCTGGAGGTATATTGTAGATGTGCTGATGCAATGGTGTTCTGAATGGGCCACATGTACAAGCGCCCACTCTTATACCCATTTTCCTTGCCTCTGCCTTGTTCTTGAGCGCCGGCATGCATGACTAATGAATCTTCAATTTTGTCACTCAATATTGGCACTTGTATCCCTTAATTAGGAGCAAAATGAACTTCAAAATGAAGTTGCCAGCCCGCCAAAACTATTCAACCTGTAACCAAGTGTTATGGAGGTGTTGCTGCACCCCCACCCAAATTATCTCAAAATTAATTACCAATCACCAAGATACAAGCAGTTTGATCTGTGATCAAGGCCTTTCGGAACTAATGCACAACAAATCTGCAACCTCGTCGCTCAAGTAACATTGATTCCGGCTTGAATTTCCCGTGAATGAGGCAATTTGCAACCAAGTAAGAATATATGTAGTCTGATTACATTTAGTGATTGCAATCTGTTCCCCATATTCCAACTGGCATCCAATGGCCTCTTTCCAGGCGTTTTTGAACTACATAATGCACAGCAAATCTGCAACCTCGTTGCTCAAGCAACATCGATTCCGGCTTCCGAAGAGTCCTCGGAAGAACCTCTCCAAAAATTGACTTCTCTGGAGAATGAGTTTTCCAAGAATTGACTTCTCCGGAGAACCAGTTCTCCGAGAGATGTTTGATTCATCGGTTGGGAGGCCTACCGATTTTAGCTCGGCTGATCCACAGCCGAGTGTGAATAAGTTGTCAAAACACTCGGGTTGACCAGCCTAGTTTAGCTTGGATGCGGAGTGCATCGGATTTGGGCAACCAATGTTAAATCGATTGCACACATCTCAGATTATCTGGGATGCACACATCCGATGCTTATACGTTGGCAGTGCATGCATCAACAATTCAACATAATCAAGCACAAATAATTCAAGGATCTAGACTTTGTAGTTCAAAAGTGTATATACCGTCTAAATTCGATGTTTTATTATTTTTAGTAAGGCTTGGGTGTATTGAGAAGGAAGTCGGTGAAGCAGCTCAGAAGAAGCTGACATGAAAGGGCCCAGCAATCCATGAATAATGGCTCCTACCCTACATAAGAGATTCAAAACAAAGGGGTAAGGTAATAGGTTCAACTAGGTCTGTTATTTAACATGACAGTACAATTACAAAAAATTTTGAGCAGAGAAGCTTAAATAGTGGCTACTGGCTGTGCAACATGGGATATGATTTATATTTTTTGGACAGTATTTTTGGTGAGAGCATTTTGAGGGGAACGTTAAATCGCATGGTTGACTGAATCGTTCAAGCCTTTGATTTTCTGGTGATCCGTCGGATTGGCTTGTGCTTCGTAGATCGCAATGACCGGTTTACGAGATAACTTGATTGGTTCATTTTTTTGGCAAATTGTTCAGGCACCGATAGCGTCAGCTTAACCATTAGATACGAGTTGGCCCAAAGAAAAGAGATATCTCTTACATTGGTAAATTCTCCTTTGAAGCCTAAGAAATATACCTGACTTTTATCGGCTCCAGGTGTCGTGGAGTTGAAGAATATCGAGAGCGAAGTGACCGAAGAAAACTTGGCAACCCTATGAAGAATGGTTTGTTTAGCTACCACCGGATAGTGACTAGAGACGAATGATATGAAACAAAAGATGAATGATCTGATGAAATATATCTTACCTGACAGGGAACTCGACCACTTCGGTTGTCTCTGGGATATCTAAAATTTGAGTTGGTTTTCTTGATTCGAGGGTATCAAAGTCCAATGTCGGTTCATTTGCAAACTACATTTTCCATGCAATTTTCCAGTCAGTATCAACAACCTCAATACAAATGTTTAAAAAAAGGAAAAATGGGAATGGAGCTGACCAGATGAGCATGAGTGGGACGAAATTGACCGGGCAGAGTTCGGATGATCACGGTTCTCAGTTTCACCGACCCAGTGAAGGGTATCTGGATGATCAACTGTTGGTCCATATCCGATTCGGTAAACTACAGGCACATAAACGAATCAGCGCACATCTAAATAAGTGGAAGGAGGCCTGCGTATGTATGCGAATCCTTGGGCCTGACTTGTTGATCATCCATCCGATCGTCCCATGGTTTTATACACGATTTCGCCGGGCGATTGGGCTCGACGTTATAGCCGGTCACTTGATCCAGAGCGATCTAAGTTTTTTTTTTTTTTTTTTTTGGAAACTATCATTAGTTTATGGATTCTTCCAGGAATGAACTTGTGAAACAGCGCACCTTGGAGAATAAGAAATCTGTAGGTAAACAGCACCCAAAATAATGAAATGAATCGATCAGTTTCATCATCAATCTTAGCGAGGAAGAACTGATGTTTGGCCAATCGTGCCATTGCTCACCCTGGTTTCCTTCCCCTGGTTTGATGTGGTGGTCATCCTGGTTATGAGCCTCGTGTGAGCAGCAAGAGTGGTGTTGATGAGGGTTGGCCATCTTGGACTACTGCCTGGAATAGTTTGAGTGATTTCTTTGTCCTATCAATTATTCACCGCCGATCCCCGTGCCAACCTCGGGAAAAGTCCCGGGGGGTTGTTGGCAGTCATGGGACCCGGTCATCCGACCAAAGTACCGTCTCGGCTAAAGGACATAGAGGGAAGCTGTGGTACCCATTATAACCTACAAGCGCTTGCTCGGCAGAGCTCTCTGCGAACACATAGCCCCTCCCAGGCTCAACTTTACTCAATTCGCACAGAACTCTTTGAAAAGCAGGACTAACTGCGACGGTACCCAAGTACTACACCGGCTCGCGCATTTCACAATGCGCGAGCCGCCGGGGAGACATCCAGTGACTCATCTCTATGTCCGCGCCGAGGAGGGATACAGGTATCCGCAAGCTGTTAAGCTTAGTCCACGACTAGCATGACTAAGTCTCTTCAGAGGAGACGGCCTGCGGCTCTTCGGAGGAGAAAGTTGTTTTGAAGCAAGGGCTGTCGGTGAGGCGAACCCCGCAGAGCCCGTTTCAATAGGTTTCAGTAAAGGCCGCCCGGCCCTCCGCAGATGGCGGGACTTTGTTTGTTGACGATGACCAGAGCGCCAAAAAAAGACTTCGGTTTTCGTGCCGACATCGTACACCTACACGAGCCCTACTTGGGCAACGTCAACAAAACATGCCGAAGAAACAAGCATCTCCAGCATCTCTCGGATGTTTCTGCGATAACAGGTCACGTCGATGAAAAGTTTAGTGTCCCGGCCAAGCACTTTGAGCTTGTATGTGGAAATGGCTTGTCCGTGCCGGAAGGAAGTAAGGCAAACGGTTCAAATTTGTGCACATCACAACCACCACATACAGCCATTTGTCTCAGTTTAGGATATAGATTGTTCCAATTTGCAAGGTTCACATTCGTCGAAAAACTGCGGAATCAAGGATTGCATTTTTGGCTACAGAGTTTGAGTCATAGTATGACCCAGGATAACAACATAGAGGATCAAGGATGCATGATCTTTGCGCTAAAACTCGACTCTTTTAAACACCCCATGAGGTCATTATCTCTGCCCCTCTGACTTCAACACCCGCAACCCCAAAGGAAGCAATTTCGACTCTAATTGTAACCAAAGTGATGTTATTAGGCAGACTGTTTATCGCGTTCCAACTCTTGAGGCATCACGGGCTTGCGCACCCACTTTCAGTTGCCGCCAAACCTCTGCCGAAGAGGTCAGTTTCAGCTGCTGACACAGTTAAATTTATTGATGGTATGTCGGCCTCACCAAGCGGCTTTTGATCTAAATTGCAAATATTAAGGTGCTGTGTACTTGGGAATTGATTCATGTGTCATTTTGTCATCAGAGCCGGGAATAGTCTTCGAGGAAGGTTAGTGAATTTACTTCAAAGGAAGAAATATTCTTCAGAATAGAAAAGGACCACTGGTTCTTGTTCAGCTAAATGTCACGATTATGATCCAGATGTTCACGAGGTAGAGGACTCAATTGGTGAGTAATCTCAATCTGTATCCCATATTTTGGAAGCACTGCAAAAAATTAAGGAGATTTTTTGAAGTGACGATTTGGAAATCTTCTTTGCAGGCGCGGGGCGCTTAGAGAAGCAAGATCAACCAACAGGTCAACTAGATATTATTGACCAAAGCAGTATAGGTAAGTGCTTTCTGAAAGTGTCGAGTTTCCTGTTTGAATCGAAGACTCAGGTGTGCAGATGATATTTCCTTCATAGTCCATCAACCAAGCCTAGGAAGTGGAAAAAGTATCAAATCTGGTTAGTACAATGGAGGACTTCCCGTGCGAACTGGAGCCGTCGCAGAAGTCGATCTAGACTCAAAAACTCTAGATTCTCGCAGGGGAATTTGGTTTTCGAGGCTCTAGATCGGTTCTGGGGGACCCGCAGATTCCGACGGGAAGTCCTCCAATATCATCTAAAACATGATTTTGTGTTGGATCTAACATCAGCTCTTGATTTAAATTCTGATTCAATCTAGCGTTGAAAAAAGCGCAAGTAATAGAACGGGAACCCAATTCTGAGAGACCGCGCATCATTCGAGCAGCTTTAGATCTAATTGACAAATTTAGTGAGCACCCTCATCAAGTGACTTCTCCAGATTAACCAACGTAATGGATTATCAACACCTGGGTATATCATAATAACTTGTCTTTGAGGGAATTCAGGGCCTCAAAGAAAAATCAAAAAGAAAAAAGTACCTCGGACTAAATTCAATCCAGTAGTTTCTAAACCAGTCCCAAAGAAAAACGTTTCATGGAATCAAGTCAACCCACCATCTTTGGAACCGGAGGAAGAAAAGGTATGAAAATTTGAATTTCCAGGGCTTTCAATTCCAGTCAACTCATTAACGATTGTTCATGACCAGAATTTCCAGGGGAATAGCCCCCCAAAATTCATAAAATGCTACATAAACAACAAATGGAAATGGCGCCATTATCTGGATGTACGGCATAAAGACCCAGAATACATAAGAGTCAATACTGCAGAAGTTGGGAAAGTTGCAGGTCATAAGAACAGCAATAGTGATATTGTTGAAGAACATACACAGATATTTAAAGAACCTCCAGAAATGGAGATCATGCACAACAACAGAATAATCAGTGTACCTGCAGACTTCAGTTATCCTCCTGAAGACATAATCTACCCTCCTCAAATGGGAGAGTTCACTGAACATTTGCCTCTTTCTCCCTTGGTTAGACTTTCAAATGCAGCTTCATTTCTATTTGGTTTCATGGTACCCAAGATAGATTGGAGATTGAGAATGAAAGAAGGGCATTGGTTGAGGAAATCTAACATGGGTTTGACTGAGAATGAATCTGAGGAACAATCAAATCTTGAAAGAAAACGTAAGTTCATTGAGACTGAAGGAAGGGAAGGTGAGTCTATATATTCTTGTTTAAAGTAGGAAACCAAAAAAACTAAAACATCATAATTCCATTTGGAAGGGAGTTTGGATGGAATTGAAACACTCAAGGATTCTGCTACAAATCAAAGATATAAATTGGGAGGAATAGCCAAAGATTTGTCTGAAGAAAGTAGCTCCTCTCAGTCTACCATCAGAAGGAAGCTCACTCATGACAAATCTCAAGGTGAGGTATTCAATTATATATATAAATAGATATCCCAGAAAACTCAAGCTGAAACACCACCCATTGGTTACCAACATGCAGGAAAATTTGGAAATAAAGGGAAAGCAAAAAAGTATTCAGGATATGTAAGGGATTATTAGATACATATTGAGATTTTTAATTGACCAGATCTGATAAAGATTTTATGTAATTTGTAGTCTTGAGGACTGTGATTTTTTAATCTGGGTGGCTGTTTGATTTGAGGGGAAAATTGTTTGATAGAAATTCTTAGATCATTAATATGCACAAGGATTGAATTTGTATTAATTCATTTTTATCTCTTATATTTAAGTCTCCAAGTTATCTGAAACACTGATCCTGTTTTTTTCTTCAATAACTGTCAATTAATCCTGCTTTAATTTTCCTCCAAGATAAAAAAATTTATGTGAATGAGAATACACACATTCAACAATTTAATATCAGGTTTCCAGAGTTGTTTTAATCACTTCTACCTGTTTCCTTAATGTTCCAATTCCTCCCGGCCTTTGAGGATTGTAAGGTTTCCTCCTGGCCTTCAAGGCTTGCTCAGTCTCAAAGGCCTGGGGGATTCTTCCCAGTCTTCAAGACCTTACAGTCTTGAAGGCAGGGAGGCTCCTCCTCATCCTGTTTGTCTTATCACTTGAGTGCTAAATAAACACTGTCTTTATTGCTGGAATTTTGTAGTATCTGACAAAGTGAGTATTTTTATTTGAATCCTAAAAGATACTCCCCTCCCTTCTGATACACAGACCCAATGGCAATACCCTTGACTCTTGATCAAGAAACCTCCTATAGCTGCTCACAGCCAGCCTGGATATATACCAAAGATAAGTATCCCCAAGGGCACTGCAAACACCCCCATAAACTGGGCCCATTGGTTTCCTTTCTCCCTTCTAGTTCCTAACACCAAACAAACTCTATCAGCCAGTGTAGCTAGAAGACTTATAGTCTTGAAATCACCGTTTCTGACAAAAGAAGGCTGGTTATACAACTCTTGATTGTCTGGAATCTGGATGATGTTGAAAGGCTGTACTACCAACACTGGAAACAGAGACAATATGAGATGGTATCAGGTGTTTATTTGTATCATCTCAGAATTTGAATACCCAAAAATACTGGAGTTGTGTTGTCTCACTTTCCTGAGACAATACACACTTATTGTCTTTGGACAGTGAGACACGTATTCTGTATTGTCTCAGGGGGATGCTCCCATCAAAAATCTCTTTGATACACAAGGTATTTGGCCGTATTGAAGAAAAAAGACCAAAAACAGACATTTTTTGCATTCCTAAATCCAAATCCAAGATAGTGGATTTTCTCACCAACCAAGGAAATAACAATACCAGGTATCAGGTTCAAAATAAAGACAATATGAGCCAATACCAAATACATGTCTGGTCTCTGTTTCAGTTTTGGTAATACTCTTATCTCATGAATTTTCTGTATAAATAACACCTGTGTCACTCAAATTCTTCGGTCCCAAACCGAAGAAAATGGTGCCATTATCTTCGGTTTGGAACCAAAGAGCTTCCAGAGCTGGGTGAGCTGCCTGGAGCTGGGTCCCCCAGCTGACTAGATTTCCAAAAACACTGGCAGAGACAAAGTCTCTGTAGCTCAGCGGTTTGCACTGGCCCTAACATCTGACCATCCAGCAGGTCGTGGGTTCGATTCCCACTGGCCCCATCCCCTGATGGGGGTTAGGGGGCAGGTTTTTGGGGTTAGGGTTAGGTTTACTGTGTTAGGGGGTTAGGGTTAGGCTTAACCCAGGAGAGGCACAGTACCTGGACAGGTTTGAGCGTAGTAGTTCATCTGCCTGGGTATTGTGGGGCTGTTGGGGACCTGGCGTAGTAGTCGGAAATCCAATGGCCCCTGCTTCAAGGGGGGGTTAGGTTTAGGGTTAGGTTTAGGGTTAGGTTTAGGGTTAGGTTTAGGGTTAGGTTTAGGTTTAGGGTTAGGGTTTAGGGTTAGGGTTTAGGGTTAGGGTTTAGGGTTTAGGGTTTAGGGTTTAGGTTTAGGGTTAGGGTTAGGGTTAGGGCTTAGGGTTTAGGGTTTAGGGTTTAGGTTTAGGGTTTAGGGTTTAGGGTTAGGGCTTAGGGTTTAGGGTTAGGGTTTAGGTTGGTTAGGGCTGTTTTTTTTATAAAAAAAATTGGCAAAACTGGTTTTTACCCAGCTCACTCAGCTCACCCAGCTCATATACCCAGCTCACCCAGCTCACCCAGCTCTGCTTGTTCTTCGGTTTCAAACCGATGATAATGACACCATTATCTTCGGTTTGGGACCGAAGGATCCAATTGCCAAAACTCAATTTTATACTGACATGTGATTCACAGATACTTTTTAATGCACCATAAACCTGAGAATATTTTCAAGTCTAACCTCCGCATCTGCCAAATTTCAGTTTCATTTTTATCAAATCTGAGAATGTAAATTTATTGAAACAAAAGTAAATGATTAACTTAGAAAATAGCCAGTTTCCAGCCAGATTTCTAGCTCCAATCAGTAAATCATAAGTATTTAAAAAACATCCAGTAGTGGATACATAGTCTAGATTCCCTCAAAGTATTCTGAATTCCTCCTGAAAAAGATGCCATCAGCAAATTTCAGCACCAGCAACTTTTAGCAGGTCATCAGCAATCAAATTTGACTATTGGAATCATTCTAATAGATTCAGTGAACAAAATGGGTGTGTTGTATTTTTCTTCATTTACTCTGGCTTTTCCTTTGAGGATTTCAGACTGTGATCTGCAGCATGTCTCTTTCATCTAAAACTGTTCAGTTCCAGAAGGAATAGAGTTGTAGCCTCTTTCTTCCCTCTAAAACCAGTTGGTGCCAGAGGGAAGAGAGTTATAGCTTCTTTCTTCCCTCTAGAGCCGGTTGGTTCCAGAGGAAAGAGAGTTGTAGCCTATTTCTTGCATCTAATTCTAGAACCGGTCGGTTCAACAGGGAAGAGGGTTATAGCTTCTCTCTTCCCTCTAAGACTGGTCGGTTCCAGAGGGAAGAGATTTATAGCATCTCTTTTTCCTGTGAAACCGATTGTTCCAGAGGGAATAGTTGTATAGCCTCTCCCTTCCCTCTGGAGCCATTTGCTTCCAGAGAAAGCTGATTGTAGCCTCTCTCTTCCCTCCAAAACCGGTCGGTCCTAGGGGCAACAGAGGTGTAGCCTCTCTGTTCAATAAAAACACTGCCCAAATACAACCTGACAATAAAACTGGGTTGGGTCAGGTTGAGGCAAGATCTGAAAAAGGCTGCCCCAACCCAACAGGTCAGGGTCAGTCTTGGGTTGGGTCACACGGGTCAAACCAAGTTTTTTCATTAAAGGGATTTGTTTACTCCCTCAATAAAAAGTCGGAACCAGTCATCAGAGGATGATGGCAGGTTCTGACTGGTCATCAAACATATTGCTTACTTCCTCAATGACCGGTCAGAAACAGCAATCAAGGAAGCTTTCAATCCCCTTTGATGACCGGTTCTGACCGGTCATTGAAGGGAATTGTGTACTCCCTCAATGGGTTCTGACTGGTCATTGAAGAGATTTGTGTACTCCCTCAATTACCGGTCAGAAACAGTCATCAAGGGAGATGTCTATTCCCTTTGATGACCGGTTCTGACCAGTCATCAAAGGGATTTGTGTAATCGCTCTGACACAATTGTATCAGCTCCCAGTTGGACTTCCGGGTTGGCCTCCGGTTATCCCGATTGGTAGCCAGCTCTCCCAAAACCAACCCAAAAATAAATTGGGGAGTAATTGGAAAAAAGGATGCTCAAATCCAACCCGAAGTGTGTCGGGTCTCGGGTTGGCCTTGGGCCAACCCAACCTGTTAGCTGTTGAGAATGTAGGCATCTGATGAGACACTGAGAGGTTCAGTTATTGTTGTCACATCCAGATATCATTGTATCAAGTTGGAAAAAAGGGTGTATTACATCAATGGCCCTGACTAACAAAGGTAGAGTTTGTAACAAAAGATGGGGAAGAGCTATTTCATAGGTTATCTCTGGGTGCATCGTGATCAGTTGAATCGCCTTCTCTGAATTTATCTCAGTAATCAATGAGCTGGGTTAAGTTGTTAAGACGGGCACTAAGATGGTCGATATTTTCCTGCCATGACTCTTGGAGAATGGTAAAATTGGGTTGTTTAGACGCTCTGATTATAATATCAATAATGTGGCGGCCTTCATCAGTCTGGTCAATTATTTAACCTTGAATTCTGGGAATACCCGGGTTTGCAAGGCAACAACTTGCGCAGGTCGGAAGATGTAGGGTGGAACACACTGGGCAGCAGCAAAGCCCAGATAGGCAGCCTTTTTGGTCTTTTGATTAGCTGAGGTTTGGGCCAAGAACTCGTGGGGGATTTGGGGCAACGACTCAAACTCTCTGATTGCTGTCAGGGGGCTGAGCCAGGAACGTAACCAGGTTAGCCTGTTGTCTAAAATCATACTGTTGTGGCTGCCTGGTTGGTGGTTACTGCGCATGGTTATGGAAACTGAAGGGAGAAGAGCAACGATGCAGGGCTGATACCTGGCAAGGTGTCGATGACTGCAGATTGATGGCTGGGTTGAATTTTGTCTATTTAAGAGGGGGGGAGGATGGATGATCAATCACCAGGCATCAAGAAAATTGTAATTCCAAGAATCAAAATGTCCTCATCCCCTCCGCTGTTGCACTTGCACAGTCCGAGGGGCTAACAAGCTGGCCCCCCACTTGGTTCTCTGCCTTTGCAGTCGGCTGGGGGCCTTCATGCCCTGTGGTTTTGACCCATGCAATGACATGGGCTGGCCACTGAGTCCAAGTGCACCAGCTTTGCTGGTGTTGGGGGGCTAGGCTGCTGGTTGACATTTTCTTTGATTGCTGTTGTGTCTGAAATGTCATGTCATTCTTTTGTGTTTCTTTGAAGGAAAAACCCTGTCATTTTTTCTTTTCTTAATTTAGCATTTGTAAGGGGAAACCCTTGAATTTTTTTTGTACAAATCACTGACTTTAATATACTTGGATTAAATCTGAACAAATGAAAAAATTGACTTGGGATTGATGTTTTACAATAAATATGAAAAAGGCAAGATTCTCCCCATTAGATGTAGATACTTGAAAACAAATATGAAAAAAATTCCAAAAAAGTGACTTGAGTAATATTTTACAATAAATATGAAAATAATAATAATAATGAAGTAAGGTTCTTCCAATTAGTTTAAGATGTCTTACAACAAATATGACGAAAGGAAAAACAGTGACTTGGGAATGATATTTTCAAT